CGCAATCAGAGGATCAAACACGTGCCGTTGGGTTTGAAAAATAAAACGTTTCACGCGTTAAAGATTATAATTAGGCAAATATAAAATATGAATAAGTCACAAATGTAAATATAAGTAATGAGGTATCATTTTAAAACATCTATCGGGCTATAAATACGGGTTGGTACGAGATCAAATTTACCATAAAGCCCTTCGGGCTTTATGGAATTTGACCTCGTGACCAACCCGTATTTATAGCCCGATAGATGTTTAAAAATGATACCTTATTTCTTAATTGGACTAATAAAATCTGTGGTTTATTTGTCCGAATGGACTAATAAAAATTTCTGGGAAAAAAAATCAATAAATTACTGATGTTCGATTCTCGACAACTTTCACTGGAAAACCCCGCATGTTTTTTTTTTAGGTTTCTAGGTTCTTGGCGGGAAGTTAGGTAATTCTGAGTCAATTCGGCACTTAATTTTAGGACTGAGATTGGTATGGAATTATACATTTTAGCGATCATGATTTAGTATGACACATAAAGAAAGATGTTGGATGTAATGTACACAGAGAAAAACGAATGAGATCGGGAATACGATCGTAGTTCCTGATCGCGAGATTTCAACAAATCTTGGAATAAAACATTTCAGGTAAATGCTTTGTTTATTTCAAAAAAGTATAAAAAGTACATTGCAAAGTTTATTTTTAAATTAACCGTTACAAAACATTGATTTTTTTGACGGACTCATAAAATCACGTGCGGACTAGTAAAAGTAAAGGAGCACTAGCCCGGCCGGACTAAAACCTAAAAATGTTAGTGTTGAACCCTGAACCATTTTACTTAATTCTTATAAGATACGAAAAAAAAAAAAAATGAATACGATAAATTGCATTTGAATTTTATTTTTTAACTATATTTCTGTTACACTTCCTGAGCATGATTATCGGTAATAAAGACCGTCGATTGCTAGTCAGAGGAAACGCGGACTGAAACCCACAACCATAAATAAATCAGTATGAACACCACATTTTCGTGCATTTTAATATGAAAATAAAACATATAAGGTAGAATAATATATTTCTTTTATGATTTCAATTTAGTATTAGTTCTTTTTTGTCTGTTTATCGAATGTTTCACCTTATACCTGGATGTCAAGGAGCAATAGATCGCCAACTTTGCCAATGAACAAATCCCGATTTGTACTATAAAGTTGTATTTTTGTAAAATACAAACTCTTAACAGAGCTCCAGATAAGGTGCGTATTTGCAGAAATATGCATTGAATTTTTCAAAATACGCATTAAAAATTAAAACAGGGCGTACAATTACGCATTAGCAATCATAAATAAGCATTACACTATGAAAGTACTGCGTACAACGGATTATGTGAATTGAGGACAGCTCAGTGTTTGAATTTTTTATCAAAAGGAATTTTGACTTATAAGCGTATTCGAAATAACTTAGGTCGATTTCCAGTTCGGAAGAAAGATTTGAATATTAAATACTCGTACTTTGTCTGAAAATATCACAGATTTCCACTGTTCCTATACATGTAACATCCAAATTTTCGTTCTTTACGCGTACACGTCGATCGATATTGTCAAAATTGCACAAAACACGCATGGTGTCTAATTTATCCTTTATCACTATTTATTAAACAGTTCTTGTATATTTACCATTTTCTGTAGCAATAATATTATCTAAAGTGCGCTGACAACCTTTATTAATTGTATAAAAATTATTGCTTTTTTGATTTCCATGTGTTCCTGTGCTATAATAGCGCCACGCGACTTTTAATGCAAACGGGGAGTAACTCTAAAACTTTTATCTCGATCGATGCCAACAATTTATATAGTAAAACCTAATTATGTATTTATCATTGAAAGCAAACAAACAAGCAAACTAAACAGAAAACAACGGGGCAGGTGGGGATGAGAATTTAAAGATTAATTTTATCTGGCCAAAGGAAGGATATTTTTCTCGGTAACTCTTGCTACGGTTGATATAGGCCTAAATCTTAAATGGAGTTCTGTGTGCCCGTGGTAACTTTGCCTACCGTATGGTCTTTCTGGTGAAAAAACGAAATGTTTCTCAATTATAGCTAAAAGCTGACAATTTTTTTTTTTTTTTTTTAAATTTCATTAACCTAATTGATAAATGCAGAAACTGTCTTTTTTTTTTTTTTTTTTTTTTTTTTTTTTTTTTTTACATTCCTCTTTCAAAAACACATTTCGATAATAAGCTAAATATCACATTAGATGTCAAAAGAGCAATAGATTAACAAAATACTCTCTGATTATTTTGCTGAAAAGTAAAATCTGCATTGATTTGAAAATCAGGGAGTAAATACACTTTGAGGTAAAAAATTTTCTGGAGCTCTGTCTTAAAACACCTTTAATGTATGAATTCCGAGTGGTTTTACATTTGCAAAATGACCCGTTACTTTGCACCGCCGTTTTTTGTAATCCTCTACTTTTTGCGTGAAATACGCACATTTTTAAGCATCTGCACATGCTCGTACCCCCGTTTGGGGGTATGGTTTTCCTTCTTCCGTTTACCCTCGTTTGGGGGTTCGACCAGACTGATAATTAGTGATAAATAAGGTTTTTACAATGCTTCACTCTGTAGCTCTGATTTGATCAACCAGTTACAATTCTGCAGTTAGTAGATGTTCAAAGCTGTTTTAACAGTTCTGTTACGCAGATCTTTTGCCTTTGATGAAACAAATCTTGATAGCAAAGTAATAAAACTTACACTGACAGGCGTCAACTAGCAGCACTTGGCCCTCAAAACAGTAAGAACGTTCTTAAAATCAAAATTGATTGACCATACGGAGCTAGGAGAAATCCAGCATTCAGCGTCTATATCAACCCATTAGTTTCGAATTTTCGAATCTGTTTCGCACCGAGATGGTTAGTGCCCCCCCCCCCCTCCCCCTTGTGGTCGCTTCTTTTTATCCATTTTGAAAAATACTTATTATAGAATCTGGCTGCTATATAGTAGATAGTAATTTCAGTTACCCCGGGGGGGGGGGTATTTTACATTTAAAAGGTTCCTTGACAAAAAGGGGCACATTCGACAAATCTAATGGGTCATTAGGGATAGGCCTATAAGGCAATATTCCTCACTAGGTGGAACCAGGAATCCATATACTATATATATGTCCCTGGTGGAACTAGTACAAAGTATGATGGGACTGGTACTTTTCTGGGGATTCGTTAGGGTGGGGCTAATCCGAGATTCCTCTGACTCTAACCCCTGCCTTTATATTTTGACATTTGACACAGGGCCCTGCACATGTCAAAATATAAAAGCAGGGGTTAGAGTCAGAGGAATCTCGGATTTATATTTTGACATTTGACACAGGGCCCTGCACATGTCAAAATATAAAAGCTGGGGTTAGAGTCAGAGGAATCTCGGATTAGGGTGGGGCAAGCATTTATTAAGTGATATATATGAATACTATAATTTTATACACTGAAATAAACCCTCATATCACAGATTCTTCATTTTTTCAACAATTTAGAAATTGCTTACAGCGTGAAACCCTCCTATCATCATTTATTTGGTATCATGTCATCATACATAAAACAAATACACATAAATATACATAATTATTTGAAAGACAATATTTGGGAATCCATAAATTTTTAAATAGATTTATAAATAAATATTCAGGAAACCATATTTTTAGAAAGTGACTATAGTCGATAATATAGGCAGGCCCGTAGGAAGCAATTTCACTTTGAGGGGGCACAACTATACATTTTCAATTGGGGGGCACTATCAACTACCAAAATTCCTTGACAAGCAAATAAAAAAAAAAGGTCATCAGACGTTATTATTGAGGGGGCACAAGCATATAGTAGCTATGTTTTCTATAGTATTCTACACATCGGCAAAATTATTGAGGGGGGGCACGCCCCCCCCCCCCCCCCGGTTCCTACGGCCATGATAGGATAACCCATTAAAGCTCGAGAGCTTATTTCCAATGGGGTCCTAACCTAAATAAGATAACAATACAATGTTTCATCATTATTGAAGCACTATAACAATTTTTAGCACTATAGTTTTAGCACTGTGTACATGTATCATTTAATACATAGGGCTTAGGGCGGGTGTGACCACAGGCGCCTGAAGTGTGGATCTATACCCCCCCTTTTTGATAAAAAAAAATGTAAGAGCTTATAATTTTTCAAAAATATAAAAATTTCCCCATCAATGACATCCATATGTCGTTCTATGCAAACAGATTGTACTTTTTTTTATTATACCGTACAAGGCCATTCTTTAAACGTAAGAAAAAGTATATGGCTATAAGTGAGTCATAATTGCATTTTAACATTATATATTTCACTGAAAAGCCAATTTTTAGAAAAAACTTATTGTGAGGTCAATTTTAGCCCAATTTCCTTGATTTTTTCACTAAATCATGCAGAAATGTTCAAATTTTCTTGTCTTATAATGCTAAACAAAATGATACACCAATCATTGTGAATAATTTATCAAATCATCAAGACAAAAATTTCTAACCTCGAATTATTATGATTTCTTAACAATTTAGAGTCGTAAAATTTTTAATTCGCATTTGACGTATGGTATAACCGCAGTGCCTACAAATAAAATTATTTTGAAATTATATCAAGAAACTGCAAAGAATTCTACATTTTATGGTGTTTTAGTCATAAAAAATGATCAACAAAATAACAGTGCAATAATATTTTAGAAAAATGCAGTTTCAATGAAATATACAGTGGGAAAAATAAAATTATGATTCACTTACAATGTATGACCAGGTACTGTAGATCATTTCGCGGTCGAATCTTCTGATCACGCATTGCCTAATAGATATATTTAGTTTCGTATTTTTAAAAAATGGAATAGAATAATGAAAATACAATAAGAAAGAAAGGAATATTATGCACAATGTTTAAAAAAATATTTTTAAATAACAGTTGTATAAAAATTGTGATAACGAAACTTTGTTGAACTAGCGTTTCCACTTTCGTTTATTCCATAAATCCATCGACTCCAGTTCCATGCTATGAGTGACATTTTATGAATAGCAGCTGCAGAAACGTAGAATGGCCACGACCAAGACACCAGGCCAGGTAAAAAGTTAATGGATTTTTTCTTCAGTCTAATTTGTGACTTTATTACATTTTCAACAGTGAAATACTGTAATTTATTTGTTGAATAAAAGTGATATTCTGACACAGTGTGAACGGATATCAAAATGGTATAAATAGTTTTCAGTAGGCCTAAATTAGTATATACAGTTAAAGTATATAATGAGGGAGTTAGCAAGATTCCAGTTCCCCAAGGCCAGGACTGTTTCCCGAGGTGAAGCCAAGGGAAATAGTCTTGGTCCAGGGTAACTGGAATCTTGCTAACTCCTGCAATGATATACTTTTAACTGTTTTATTATACCAATACAAACGTAAAATTTAGAGGATTCAGATAGCGTGATTTCAAAGCAGGGATTAGCTCACTGAACTAACACACGGGGATTAGTCCATTCACATATCATTCCAATGTAAAAGTAAAATCTAGAGGATTATGGATAACCGGGAATTAGCTTTCAAAGCAGGGATTAGCTCACATGACTAATGCACGGGGATTAGTCCATTCATGATGATTTCTAGGGAATTAGTCACATCTAATGATCTAATGTTATAAAGGGAAAAAATCAGTAGAGGTATAATAACAAGAGTTATTTCCCGTTGGCTGCCATATTGGAGGTCAACATACCCATATTCCTTCATTATTCAACCAGCTTTAACTTTTTATACTGGCCATTGTGGGGTAGGAAGCATATTAATATGTTTTTCTGAAAAATATACATCTATTAAAGCCTCCTTTATTTCACAGTTTCTATTCTATAAAGATTTTTCCCCAAATATTTCTTCTACACTCTCTTAAATTTGGTAAGACAAAGAGGAAAAATAACCAGGTTGACCACCAAGATGGCGGCCAAGGGAAATAACTCAGAGAGAAAATACATCATATGAAAACTATCTATTTTCGCAGTGTGAGAGAATACCAGAAGTGCGGCAAAAATCAAGATTTTCCTTCCCTTCTCGAAGAGTATTTAAAAAAAACTCCCTGGCCTGTTATATAAGATAGAGTACCGTAATTTTGGGGTAAAGGTCGATGGGGCATATAGGTCGAAAGGCTTATTTTTAGCTCTAATTTTTAAAAAATCCATAGATAGGGTGGATTTGGAGCATAGGACGAAGCGTTGTTTATCGATTTTCTAGAGATTCTTACGTAGATACTACGTATCAGAACATGTGAACTTCTTGGCTTACCCCATGATATTATCATATTGAGAAAATAAAATGGTATTCTTTGAGTAAAAAATTTTAATAGTGTTTTATATAAAAAAAGTTTATTTAGTTGAAACTTCCCTGAATTCTGCTATACAACATATTTTCTCCAACTTGCCTTTCAATGCCATCGTAGTACGTTTGACTCTGTTGTTAAACAGTATCCATAAATAAGGTAGTAGCTTTGCACTCATGAAAATATAAAAAAAAATCCTGTCCCACTTGTGAAATAAATTCCATATTCATGTACAAAACATTGAATATCCTCTATATATAGACCTGGTCAAGAAGCTAAACAGGAGTGTTGGTAAAATGGGTAGGCAAACCCAGGCCGGGGAAAATTGAAAACTGGGATTATTAGAGATTTTTCAATTTTCTGCCTCAATACTTTATCAATCAAACTGAAATTTTCTGATTATGTTATACCTTTATATGTATTCGCTGTAAAATTGCCTTGAAATATGCTTTTAAAATATTTTAGATTTTCTTGGGGATTGTTGATTTCTGACTTAGTAAAATGGGTAGGCAGTATTAAGCCGACATTTTCATGTATTAAATGATACATGTAATGGAGAGTTTCACGCTCTTAGCAATGTCTAAATTGTTGAAAAAAATGAAGAACCTGTGATTTGAGGGTTTATTTCAGGGTATAAATTAATATTCATATATCATTATTATTTTTTCTTCAGTCTAATTTGTGACTATATAGACCTGGTCAAGAAGTTAAATAGTTTAGAAGAACTCCAAAAAAGCCATGAACAGAAGTAAGAAATTGAGACTGAGAAAGACTCTGAAAACAAGCGCACACACACAAAAAATGTCGATTTTTCGGCAAAAATCAGTGGTTTATAAAAACAGCCTGTGCAAAGTTTTGGAAAGTATGGCAATTATGCCAGAACTCTGAAATGTTGCATAAAAGTCTGTTACGGTTCCCTAATTATTCCCACTACTATGGGAAACACTTTCTGTGGAAATACACAGTACAAGTTAGACAATACTCCCTGTAAAATACTGGACTATAAAACGACAAATTATATGTTTAATTAATTGTATGTTTTATTTTATCACCCATTGTATATTTACCAAGTTCATCATTTGGGACGAGGTCGGTAATTAGCGTTACCCCGAAATTCCTCGACATCTTACATTCCCAAGTCACGCTTTAACTGTTTACGATTGCTTTTGTTTATGTTTACGAAGTTCATCAGCACAAGTCCCAAATGTACCAAACAGTAATTATCTGCGCCCTAGGGTGCGTGATTCCTTTCGTCGATCCGATCGGCATGGCAGCATATCAAAGCTTCTTTGCTACGACAAAGATGGCGGGTATTTTCACTTTGTTGTGACGTCACGACAATCGAGCCCGATGCCTATATTCGATCGACTAGTCAGTTTGCAAGTTTGTAACTTCGGCTTTACAACTCGTATCGCCAGCATGTCTGGGAGCGAGAGCCCCTGGGTAATTACTATTGAACATTAATTAATTAGTGGGAGCTGATGAATTTTGGGATAATATTTTATTTTTACTTTTAATAATTATATTGAATTATTCCGTGGGAGAAAATTAGTGGGAGGTGAAATAACTCTCCCATAACTATCAATTGTATTGTGAAGGGACTCCCAGTATTTTGGGAAATACTTTTATACTTTTGTAAATTTATTTATAATTCCCTAAAACTTAATTCTCCCATTTGAGAATATTTTATTCCCATTTCTAATTGGGAGAGAAATAATATTTCTGCGGGAGCAAGAAATAGGGATAATCATTCAAAGAGATTGTGGAAATTAAATACAACAAGCAAGAATAAATTTTTATACATTTTAATCCTGACTCAGAGTTCTTTTGTCCAATATACAGACTTGGGAGACCCACAAGTTGCATAAGGGAGAAAACCCCTGAACGACAACAAGTCTTCGGAAGAGATCGTATTTGTCAGATATTAGATTCTATTTGCAAAAAAGGAGATACTTACTTTCAAAGTTGAAGTTTCAAGTCAGATCAATTACAGAAAAAAATGATATGATTTAAAAGTAAATATGCATAATAAAATGGAAGTACATGCAAAATGGGTCTCTTTCTCTCTCTCTCTCTCTCTATATATATATATATATATATATTGTAACTGTCAAATACTTGGCTGAATTTTACACATAAATTATCATTTAGGTATTTTGGTTGTGTATGACATCTGAATTGAAACTAAGTTCTCACCATCGTTATTTACCGATTTTTTTATCACACGAATAGATATTATCATGAAAACATTATTTAAAACTATTATCTATCAATTTGAAAACTTAAAAAAATCACTCTTTTAAAAATTAAGGACAAAACAGCTAGGTTTTCTAAAAATGAACATGTTATAGTCTCTGCTCTGTGGTAAAAAATGCACATTTTCTGATTAAAATAAATACAATCTGGGTGTCTACAAAATAAATAAAAGCATTTTTATTGTAGGAACGACATAAAATTTAATTCAAGGTGACAATAAATTATAATTGTAAGAAAATGATTCTTACTGGTACATGTAGTATTGAATTCTATGTTTATCCAAATCACTATTATGCAGGGGTTGTAAGAGATAAATAAGTCAGTATCCACAAAAATAATTTAATAAGTGTAATTATTCATTCAACAAAAATTTAAAAAGTCACAATGTACCAAATACAGCCATAATGTGGCCGTATATTTGGAGAAAGCAAACAACAATTCATTGTTTGTTTACTTCGGACGCCATTTGCCGCAATGCATGATGGAGCCAAAGACTTCGTTTTTGGAGTTCGTCTAGACTGCTAAATGGCACAACTCCAAATCCTAAAAAAGGAACTTGTAGTGTACATAGATATGGCTGATCACTTTGGCTCATTTAAAAAAAAAGTTTTAATTCTAGTCTTACAATATTATCCTCTTTCTTGAGGCTTTGACAAGAAGTATGGCAGAGGTAACTAGATGTCCTATAACAGGTCCAGTCCAAAGACTATTTCTACCTACACTTAGCTACTTATAGCTAGGTATTTAAACCTACTCAGGTAGCTATTTTTACTTACTTTTTGCTTTAGTTGCATTTTGTGGACATTAAACAATGGAACGGTGCAATATGGCAAGTACCAAAGTTCTTAATACGGTCACAATGATGATGAATTTGACAAACATTTTGGCCCAAAAATTATTACTTTCTAACTTATCAATTTTGCATCAAAAACTACAAGTTAATTTTCCAGTAGCGAAGGATAAAAACTAAGTCTAAAATGTTTTACAAATCTGTATCTATAACAAGTGAAATAAGGATCCAAAGATGTTTTAATGTGGGTTAGATTAAAAGTAAGAAAATTGAGTATGCGAGACACAACGCTTAAGTCTCCCAAATCTGTATCAATTTAAAACTTATCTTCATGCATTCTTAGAAAAAATTTTTGTCGGGTGATTTTTCATCCATTTCTTTTCCATTCTCCACCCTGATAAAAGTTTTCAAATTAACACCCTGAATTTTGCCGTGCAAATGCACAAGATGATAAACAGCAAGTTTGACCTGTTTTAAAGATGTGCCTTAATAATACATGTATTAATTAATTTTATTTTCATAGACAGGTAAAATTAGGTAGAAGTAGCTACTTCAAGTAGGTCTAAATACCTAGGTAGCTATTAATAGCTATGTAGATAGAAATAATCTTTGGACTGGACCTCTATAACACAAGCAGAATGATTCACTTGAACAATTTTTTTTTTTTGAGGAAAAATCAGTTTCAAAACATTTTGGGCATCTATGGATCTGTGCCCAAGACACCAGCCACAAAAAGAAATTTAATTCACTTTTAGGGGGAGTTAACAATTTGTTGGACACATATGTTGCTTTGCACAACTTTAAGCAATAACTTGCATGAAACCTGAGTGACTTCATGATTTTACTTGTTTCTGTCTTAAAGCCAAAGATCTTAACTTTTTAATGATTCCAGTTTTTGTTATCATGTTGATGAAAATACCACTAAAATGGCCTTGAAGTGACATCAAAATTTTATGATTTTGCAAATTTTTAGAGTATGGGGATTTGACAATAACAATATCATAGAAATTTTATTTTTACAATTTTACAATAATTTTAAATCTGAAAATCATGTTTTATATGGCGAACTGAGTGGATACCCAGTAGAAAATTTATTAAATCCAGGGTTATTGGGTTTTGGCATAGAGACTTGTTTGTGGTAAACAAGACAAAATATCTTTTCTCTTACATAAATTGCTATTAAAGCTTAGAGAACATAACTTAATTTCTTAGAGCTATTGTTTTTTACTAGAATAAGTATGTTCATTTCATCATACATCAAACAAAAATTAACCATGCATTGGACATTTTACGATGCTTATCACTTTCTTTTTCATATAGAACCCAACTGACAGCTGATTTTTTGCAGATATAGAAAATAAAATCTCTAGATATTCAGTGAAAATTCAAGTTATCAATGCATGATGACTAGAGATGGGCTCAATTTATTTCTACAAACTAGAAAATAATAACCCATGAGACAAAGGCAACTTGCCATATTACTAGGCATTTCAAGGTCTTTCTTAGGTGATGTGATGCATTTAAAATCTCTTCACATTTGTGAATTGATAGAGTCAATGAAATTAAACTAGAAAGTTAATTTTTAAATAAAACATAAACATAATTTCATGTCACTAATTGAAAAGCATTCGGGTGTTTTAATTAAGGGTCACCAAGATAAAGGTACGGCATTTTCCGTTTCAGCATAATGTTTGTCTGATGATGCATGGTGAATATTGTCCAATCCATGGTGAATTCTGGCTCATTACAAAAAAAAAAATGTTTATTAATGATATTTCCTCAATGAATAGCATAAAATTGTTTCCGAAATTTGTATTTTAATCACATAATACAGTCCTTAGTGATCAGGCTAAAGCTTGGTCATGTATGAGGGTGTTCGATGCATGGTGAACTCATGCACCTTACTTCTGGCAAGTTGCAATGCTTATGTGGAATTCACTTAAATTTGGACAGTAGTAAACAATGCTAGGCCAAGATCAATGTGTTTGTTTGCCCCTCTCCTCCCCAAAATTTTCAATCGGTTAGGTAAGCAAGTTAATTATTTTATTTTGTTTGAATTTATTGCATTGATGCAGTATTGAGAAAATATCTGTACAAACTTTCTTCTTTGAAAAAACATACATTGTACTTTAAGTAAAAACTCAAGGGAAGCAATAACCTTGAATTCTGGGGGTACTTCGATTCACTTTGATTCATACTTGATTTTAATCAGTATCTACTTTTTTCCTCCAATACATGAGATAGGCAAGACAATAGAATGAAGTCAGTCAATAATTTTTAAAGCTAGATCTCATCCAACATCTGTATGATGGGTGAAGTTTGAATAAATCTAACTGGTCTCGGGACAAGCCCTCACCATAGCTAGAATATATATCCCTTGTAGTTGTCATGTAGCAAATTAAAGCGAATCCACTCTAAAACATTTTTGAAGAATGCAAAAGGAGTTTCCTAAACATGCTGAAAATAACTGCGAAGTTAATCATATCAAACTTTTTTGAGCTTGTATCTGCTTTTAACTCTTAAAAAATAATCTATATAAAGACAAAAACTCACTTTGAATTAAATGTGCCATGTTTATATTCAGAACTCTGGATTTTTCCTTGTAAAACTAAATGTGTACAAATGTAGTTTAGAATTATCTACCCCTGTTCATTTTGCTCCATTGACAACACACCAAAATTTTTTACTGTTAAATAGTTCTGTCTAGGAAAATTGTAGTTATTGATAACCAGAAGTCTCTGTCAAGACTGTAGCTCTACTGGTTTGTACTTAAAACAAAGGAAGAGAAAACCAGCAATTGCACTTGAAACTTTGCAAAAGCAATAAATAGAATAATGATCCTTGATTTAGTCTCCTTTTGTGGCAAGATTGCAATCAGACTAAAAGTGTAGGAGGAGTAGCCTTTTAAGAGAATTTCACAGAAATTTCCATTTTTAGTAACCATGGAAACACCGTTCATTGAAATCAAATACCAATACACAGAATTATGTATCTTAGTGTAATCTACATGTGTGCCAAGTTATATTGAAATCAGACCAAAACTGTGGGAGGAGTAGCATTTTGAAAGTATTTCACAGAAATTTCTATTTTTAGTAACCATGGCACCACCATTCATTGAAATCAGAATAGAAATTTTTCTGTGAAATACTTTCAAAATGCTATTCCTCCTACAGTTTACAATTTCAATATAACTTGGCACACAAGTAGACTACACTAAGATAAATAATTCTGTTGATCAGTTTTTGATTTTGATGAATGATGTTGCCATGGTTACTAAAAATTAGTGTTGTCAACGAGTACCCAGTTAACCGGTTAACTGTTGAACGATGCAAGTATCGGTTAGTAAAACTGCTATTCGGTTACTCGGATAAAAATACATTTTACGTAGTAAATACGTAGAAAATAAATGTTATATTGTTTATAAATGTATAATAACATATTTACCTAAAATTATTTACATTAAATTTATGTAAATTATGTGAATTGGAGTTATATTGTATACAAGTGGGACTGCAAATATGTTAAATCACCTAAGATTAAAACACTATTCGGAAACCAGCGATTTACTGGACACTCTACAAATCAACAAGTAATTACGGGTATTTTAATTCTCCTTGATCGCGACATATATCAGGGGCTGAAAAGAAAAACGTAACGATCGAGAGCCATTGTGAAAATGGTGATTGATGGTTATATATATCTGTCTTCATGTGTCAATAAAGTTATTTTCTTAAACAAAAACAAACTGTCTGTTTCAATCGACATCTAAAATCAACATTCTTTGAAGATATTGTGTTTGTGTTTGAGTTTGTAATTGTAAATAGTTCATACACAGTACATTTGTTTTATTTCTACCGATAGGTAAAGGAGAGATAAATAATAGATATGGTAACTGTAACGAAAAAAATCATCCAAGTAACCGGTTACTCGATCAGAAAAATAAGCGAGTAACCGGTTACTAAAAATCGTCCGATTTGACAACACTACTAAAAATAGAAATTTCTGTGAAATACTTTCAAAACGCTCCTCCTCATACAGTTTTGGTCTGATTTCAATATTACTTGGCACACAAGTAGACTACACTAAGATACATAATTCTACACATTAGTTTTTGATTTCAATGAACGGTGTTGCCATGATTACTAAAAATAGAAATTTTTGTGAAATTCTTTGCTACTCGATCCTCCTACAGTTTTTGTCTGATTTAAATATAACTTGGCACACAAGTAGACTACACTAAGATAAAAATTCTGTGTATCGGTTTTTGATTTCCATGAACGGTGTTGCCATGGTTACTTAAAATAGAAATTTCTGTGAAATACTTCTAAAACACTACTCTTGCTACAGTTTGGTCTGATTTAAATGTAACATGGTATGCAAGTAGACTACACTGAGATTTAATTGTATTTATCAGTTGTTTTTTTATTTTGATGAATGATGCTGCAATGGTTACTAAAATTAAAATTCATGTAAAATCCTTTTAAAAAGCTACTCCTCCTATAGTTTTATTCTGTTTGCAATAAATCTTGCCACAAAAAGAGACTAAACTAAGGATCATTATTCTATTTATTGCTGTTGCAAAGTTTCAAGTGTAAGTGCTACTTTTCTCTTCCTTTGTTATGAGTTCAAACCAGTAGAGTTATAGTCTCATCAGAGACTTCTGGTTTGTTTATGAAATTTTCTTTGATTTTCCTTTTGCTTTACTTGTAACACACTGTCATATGCTGTGATGTCATACTTGAGAGGATGACTGAGACGTCTGACTAGATTACAAGAATGAAAATTGTAAAAATATTTTTTGGAGTCTTAGGAGTCTTTGGAGTTCTAGTCTTTGTGAGGATTGTTAATTTACTCTCACTATCTTATAGGCTAGCTAAGTTACCAGTATATCGTACAGGCTAGTGAGTTAAAAAAGGGGAAAAAATAGTTAGTTTTGCCACACTTGTGACTTTTTTCACACTGGAAAAATATCACTTTGATATTTTTCACAAAGTAAAAACAAATTTACTTTAATTTATTCAATGGATAAATTATACATGTATTTCACTGTTGAAAATGTAGTTAATTAACTCTTAATTTACATTGTTAAAAAAATATTACATTTTATGTTATGGGCCACAGTGAGTAAGGTATTTCTTGAACACATTTGTTTGACAGAAAAGGAAATATGACTCAAATGAGTATAATGGTCCACAGTCCTTTTTACTGTGAAATCACTAATTTTCGTGGGAGTTTACTTTTCTTTGTTTTCGATGTATGAAGAGACCCACGAATTTATGACCACCACGAAATATAAAATTTCATATGCATTACTAACTGAACATTCTCCAACCATGAAATCAAATCCCCACAAACCAATATTTTTTTCCTCAAACCTCTAAAATTTGACCCCACAAAAATATGCGATTTTACAGTATTCAATTTCAAGTTTAATGTAATTTTTTTTAGCCTGGATCATCTAACATCACAACACAAGAATTTGTTGTTCGAGTACCAAAGTAAGTCATTATTTTCATATCTAGAAAAATAAATGTGTACTCCTGCAGTTTCCTCACCAATTTACAATATTGAGTCAAAATTTTTCATGTGAAAAAATGGGGGGAATCTTTTAAAAATCTGTTGAAGAACAATAGGACCAAAGAGTCTAAGGTGAGCTCAGTGGTATATGGGCCTCTTTTTAAAGTGCTTCAGTATTTCTTAAGCTTAAAAGAAGAATGTTGAAATATTTTGGAAGTTCAACTTGCCAGTCTTTGCCATCTAATTGTAAGCAAAAAAAAAAAAGAAGAAGAAGAAGTTTAAAAAAGTAAATTGAGAACTTGTCAGTATTTGTGTTTGTTTTCTGCAATGAGTTCAAACCAAAAGAATATTAGGAAACAAGATACTGAATTGTTTGTTTTCAAGAAAAATGGTTCATTTCTTGAAACAGAATGTTGAAAAATTATATAATTATATCATTTCAGAGGTCAAAAAAAGAAATATAAAATGATGAAGTTTTCTACAGGAAATGATGTGGACTTTGTGAAATTAAGTCAGGTTTGTTGTGAGAAAGGAAACACTGTTGCAAATATGAATTCAAAGAACCTCTGAACAGCAGGGATATTATACTGTAGATAAAAAGATTTCACAGAATTTAAATATCATTTTACTTAATAAATCTTTTAAAACAATATTCTTTAATAATTTTATTTTTCCTTGAGAAAATTGCCAAGATTAATATCTTTTTAGCTCTACCTGTCAGTGACCAGAAGAGCTTATGCTTTAGTAAATTGTCCATCATCGATCTATCGGTTTGTCTTTGCTGTCTGTCTAGTTGTCTGTCTGTCCATCTGTCCTTAAACAATTATTCAAAAAGCTATCCTCCTACAGTTTTGGTACAAAAGTAGACTATGCTAAGATAAATAATTCTCCATATAGGTTTTTGAATTCGACAAATGGTGTTGCCATGGTTATGACAAATAGAAGTTTCTGTGAGTTTCTTCAAAATGCTACTCTAACAGTTTTCATCCGATTTCAATAAGTCTTCTCGCACAATTAGACTGAACAATTCTGTTTGGTGTTCAGCTCACCTCAGTGAAGTTGGGGGAGCTTATGTTATACCCCTGGCATTTGCATTCAAGTATAGTTTTTGGAGCAAATTTCTTAATAAGTACAGTTGAACTTTGGTATCTCGAACACGGATATCTCGAATACCATGGATATGTCGAAGTGACTGGGAAGTCCTTACTACATATTTCTGAAGTATTTTACCCTCAATATCTTGAACCCTCGGATATCTGGAAGTTTTTTCCTGGTCCCATCAAGTTCGAGATAACGAGGTTTTACTGTACTTCTATGCCCTATATTGATCAGAGATGAATGGACCTTGATTCTAGTATGTTTCATTGTACCAGGCAGGTTTCAGAAGCTGCATTTTTAGCCAGAGAATGACCAGCTTAGTGTTTTTAGATCAGGTTTAAGTTTTTCAAAGCAGATAAAAGTTTTTGAAGCAGGTCTCTTTCCTAGTAAATATAAGCCATACATTGACCAAATTTGTATGATACATCCAAGAATGCACACAACCACATGTTACATATGCTGGATCAGATCCAATTTTTCCCCAATAGTAACCAGGTTAAAGTTTTTGGAGCAGGTTCATTCTACAGTAACTATTAAGTCTTAAAGTGACCAAAATTTCATGGAGGATATATCTAAGGATGCTAACAAACCTGAGTCAGATGCTGGATCAGACCATTTTCTGGATGAGTGACAAATTTAAATTTTTGGAACAGGCTCAATCCAGTGTAACTTCAAGCCATACGCGGACCAAACTTTGATGGGTATCTAGGGATGTACACTATGATATTTGCTTCAGATGACCAAGTTAAAAGTTTTGAAGCAGATTAATCCAGTTTAATTTTGATCCCTTCATAGAACAAACTTGTACTGATGGTACATCTAAGGATGCATGCTATCAGATTTACTTTGGATGCTGGAGCTGACCTACACTTTCCAAATAAGTGACCGGGTTTAAGCTTTTTTGAGCAGGCCCAATCCCAAGTAACTATCAGGTCTACCTGGATTAAACATGTATGGATGATGCATCAAGGGATGCACACCATCAGACTTGCTTTGTTTGTCAGATCTAAGCTGCATTTTCTGCATAAGTGACGAGTTAACAGTTTTTAGAACAAATCCATTCCAAAGTAACTGCAAGCCCTACCTAGACCAAAATTGCATAAATTAATGTTGCATCTAGGGATGCACACTACTAGATTATTAGTTTTGTACGGGACTTTGTACAAAGACTATACATGTATTAGGATACATAAATCTATACTTTGGTTTTGATAAACAATGTTGCCACGGTTAATGTTACTAAAAATAGAAATTTCTTTGAAATTCTTTCAAACATTGCTCCTCCTACAGATTTGGTTTGAATTTGATAAGACTTGGTACACAAATAGACCTATATACAAGATACATCTTTATCACAAGTATACACCAGTAGAGCTACAGTCTTGTCAGAGTCATCTGGATTTAAAAAGAAGAAAAACAAAGAAAGATAAAATATATTGATTTTGATTTTTGTTTTGCAAAATTTTGATTTTATACAGACGCCAATTAGAATGGAAAGAGAGAATAATTATAAGGAGTTTAAGTCAGCTTATGACATAGATGTACATCCCAAATTTGGAGCTGGCAGTGAGTATGGACGTGAACAGAAGGAGGAGGCCAGGCGCAAAAAATACGGCATCATGTCTAAAAAATATAATCCAGAGGAACAGCCATGGATTCTGAAAATAGGGAAGAACAAGGAAATGAAGAAGTAAGACATATTATAAAAAAATTTTAACCAGTTACTGTAAACCAATTTTTATACATATGCAAGAAATATCTGCAAGAAATTTGTAAGCAACTCAAGCTAGGGGATATTTATCATTTTGAATCAGTCATTTGCTATGCAATGTTTTAATGATATTGTGAATGTATGTCGGACAGTGATGGGCAACAGGTTGTATAGTGGACAATTTCAGAATAAAGAAATGATGTGATATGTTCTTATTCTCAAAATATATCTTTATTCAAATATTTCAAATTCAAATGTACAAACTCAAATTTTCATTCACAGATATTCAAATATAATTGATAACTATTAAAAGTTAAAAAATTACAATTATTTTGTATGAAGTGAAAAATCAAGCATCAAGTAAATAAATCTGAGTGGTAAATATACTGCAATTAGAACAAGCATTCTGAGAGTATTGCATTAGCAATACTAGTCCCCTACCGGCAAGTGTAATCTGGTTCCCGTGAAAAATTGAAAATGCCATAATTTCGTAAAAAATCAATGAAGTGGAATGAAATGCAAACTCGATCTATAACTAATCAAGGTAAAGTCACATACCAAAAATCAGCTCAATATATGAAAGGGTTTAGAAGAAAATTGCGGAAAACCCTTGAAAATTGAAAAGGCTGTAATTCCGTCAGAAATCAATGAAGCGGAACGAAATGGAAACTTGATCTGTAACTCATCAAGATACACTTACATACAAAAAATCAGCTCAATATCTGCAAGCGTTTTGGAAAAAAGTGCAGAAAACCAAGTGGGACAGACTGACAGACAGACAGCTAGACAGATGGACGGACAGACAGACAGATGGACAGACTCAGAGGAAACCTATAGTCCCCTCCGGTTTCACTGGTAGGGGACTAATAATCGGGTCCTTGATTCTGTAACATTTCCGGGTTCGTTTATGGGATTCGGCTGTTCTATCTGAAGGATATAATCAAGTAGAATTTAAAGATCTCAATCACAGATTTGAATCAGCAATATTTACAATATCCCTGCTGTTTCTCTGGAGCGCACACCCCTTCCAAGGCTTGAAACGATTCGCTTCTGACCTTCAGCCAAAATTGTGTAATACAGTTTATGTAATTATATATATACTAACAAAGTCCCTAAAGCCTATTGCAGGCACATAAGACTTTATTCAGGTATCACTTACAGTACCTATCCACATTTGGCTTGTTCTAAACAGTCTTCTTACTTCAGCCGTCTGCAACAAACTAGACAGTCATCCCTGAAAAAAATGAAAAAAAGAAAAAAAAAGGAAAAAAGGAAAAAAAAAAAAAAGTCATCCCTACTGTCTTAGTATATATACACCTTCAGGTCAAGTGATCTGCTGAGAGCCGAAGGGAACAACACAAAGAAACAGGAAGTCACCACAATGCAGCTACCGAGAATTGTAGGGATAATATTCGATCTTGGTTTCAACTTCGCTTCAATACCGATCTCAAAGCTATCAAAACCTGGATTAAACTTAATTTGAAATAAGCAATTCACATCAACAGATGCTAAAACTGCATATGAAACAAGCATTCTGAGAGTATTGCATTAGCAATACTAGTCCCCTACCGGCAAGTGTAATCTGGTTCCCGTTAAGAATTGAAAATGTCATAATTCCGTCAAAAATCAATGAAGCAGAATGAAATGCATACTTGATCTATAACTAATCAAGGTAAAGTCACATACCAAAAATCAGCTCAATATCTGAAAGCGTTTAGAAGAAAATTGTGGAAAACCCTTAAAAATTGAAAAGGCCATAATTCCATCAAAAATCAATGAAGTGGAATGAAATGGAAACTTGTTCTGTAACTCATCAAGATACACTCACATACCAAAAATCAGCTCGATATCTGCAAGCTTTTAGGAAAAAAGTGTGGAATACCAAGTGGGACAGAGAGACAGATGGATGGACAGACTCGGAGGAAACCTATAGTCCCCTCCGGTTTCACCAGTAGGGAACTAATAAATTGAGACATTTGTATTTTACTTCTTGTGATTCTTTTGCATTTCAGTATATAAACAAGAAGCCCAGGGCCACATCGCTCACCTGAGCATTGTGGTTAGGAAAAAAGCAAAAATCAGTTTAGTATTGCAATGCTTAAATGCAAAAGTGGTCCCGACCTACCCCTAAAAAGGAAAAGGGGGGGGGGAGGTATGAATTGAACAAAATTGAATCTTCACTAACTAAGGATGCTTACATATTTTTTTTTGACTATTGATTTTTTTCCTACAAGTTTAAACTCTCATGGTGGCCCCTACCTACCCCTGAGGGTCATGATTTGATCAAACTTGAATCTACACTATCTGAGGATGCTTCCATATAAATATGACCAATCATGGCTTTGCTGTTCTTGAGAAGAAGATTTTTTAAGATTTCTCCTATATATTCCTATGTAAAACTTTGATCGTCCATTGTGGCCCCACCCTACCCTGGGGGTCATGATTTGATCAAATTTGAATCTACACCATCTGAGGATGCTTCCATATAAATATGACCAATCATAGCTTTGTTATTTTTGAGAAGATTTTTTGAAATTTTTCTTATATACTCCTATGTAAAACTTTGATTGCCCACTGTGACCCCAACCTAACCCCTGGGGTCATGATTTGAACAAACTTGAATCAACACTACCTGAGGATGCTTCCATATAAATATGACCAATCAAGACTTTTCTGTTCTTGAGAAGAAGATTTTTAAAGATTTTCCCTATGTATTCCTATGTAAAACTCTGATCGCCCACTATGGCCCCACCCTACCCATGGGGGTCATTATTTTAACAAACTTGAATCTACACTACCTGAGGATGCTTCCATGTAAATATGACCTATCAAGGCTTTGCCGTTCTTGAGAAGAAGGTTTTTAAAGATGCACCCTTTGTATTCCTATGTAAAACTCTGATCGCCCACTGTGGCCCCACCCTACCCATGGGGGTCATTATTTGAACAAACTTAAATCTACACTACCTGAGGATGCTTCCATGTAAATATGACCTATCAAGGCTTTGCTGTTCTTGAGAAGAAGGTTTTTAAAGATGCACCCTATGTATTCCTATGTAAAACATTAATTGCTCACTGTGGCACCCCCTACCCCCGGGGGTCACGATTTGAACAAACTTAAATCTTCACTACCTGAGGATGCTTCCATATAAATATGACTAATCAAGGCTTTGCTGTTCTTGAGAACAAGATTTTTAAAGATTTTCCCTATGTATTCCTATGTAAAACTTTGATCGCCCGCTGTGGCCCCACCCTACCCATGGGGGTCATGATTTCAACAAACTTGAATCTATACTACCTGAGGATGCTTCCACATAAGTTTCATATTTTCTAACACAGTGGTTCTTGAGAAGAAGATTTTTGAAAGATGCCATAAATTTTTCATGAATTCACAATTATCTCCCCTTGGAAGAAGGCATGCCCCTTGATTTGAACAAACTTGAATCCCCTTCACCCAAGGATTCTCTGTGCCAAGTTTGGTTGAAATTGGCCCAGTAGTTCTGGAGAAGAAGATGAAAATGTGAAATGTTTATGACAACAACGACGCTGACAACGCCTCTGCCGCTGCCGCCGACAGACAACGGACAAATTGTGATCAGAAAAGCTCACTTGAGCCTTTGGCTCAGGTGAGCTAAAAACAATAGGTTTATACAACATTTTAAATTTTTATTTACAATCCATCACTAATGAGGTTATGAAAAATGTCACTAAAATGATCAAATCCTTTTGTAATTTTTGTCTTTTGACCTTTTCATCGATTGACCGATCTTATATACCACTTCAATGGACAAAATAAATTGTTGTAAACTTGCAATTACTAACAATTTAACTAATTTTCCCACAGCCAAGGTGCTGTGACAGTTATCTACACCCTATAGTGTAAACACTTTGACACTCCATTGACCACAGATCATCACTATATTTGTTTCTCCAACTGAAACCATTACAAATTTTGTAATTTTTAGAAATAAAATGAAAGACTTTGACAGGATTATTAAATAGGAAAGCCCAGGCGTGGATATTAATTGTCATGGACCAGTTTTTCATTGGTGATTAGTGAGTAAAAAATGTCATATAATTTTTGGTTTACAGTATATAAAAATCTAGATATGATGACATGGTCAAATTAGCGTGAACTCACATGCAAGTGTGCTTTGCTCTAATTGGCTGACACAAAAATCTCAATTACTTTCTTGTTTTTTCTTCCCAAACTGTGTTCTACAAACAATCATACTGGTATCTGTCCCTTTCTCACCAATCAGTCTGCCTCTCAATTGTTTATTTTAGGATTTTTATACGCCCGTCTTAAGATGGGATGTATTATGTTATGGCGTTCATGTCCCTCTGTCTGTCCGTCCGTTCATCTGTTAACTTTTTGTGTCCGGCTCATAACTTTAATACTATTAGGCCTAGAATTATCAAACTTTGTCAGCTGATACATCTTTGGTAGAAGGTGTGTCACACATTAAAAGTAGGTTGCTCTGACCTTTAAGATGCTATGACCAAATATGGAAAACTCCTGTCCGGCTCATAACTATAAAACTGTTAGACCTACTGGGCTAGAATCATCAAACCTGACCAATTAATGCATCTTAGGTAGAATGTGTGTTGCACCTTACTTCAAGGTCACTGTGAACTTAAATTTAAAATAAAACTATGTCTTTAATCATTTAAATCAAACAATCCCAAAAGATGTAAGAGTATTGCAGTATCCTTATTTAAAAAAAGTTAAATCAAGAAAATATTTATTTTTTTCATTATATACTTTACAGCAACCTATAACAAATGTAATGTTAAAAGAGAAATTCCACCTCTCCCATGGGTATAATTATCAAGCACTGGTTAAGGAGAATTTTGATAACAGAAAATTCCAATTATAGAGAAATTAATGAGTTTAGTGTGAGGAGATAATTGGTAGAGCATCTCTTGATCAAGCAGGTGTTATCTATATCTCTTGGGAATCAGGCAAGGATTAAATAGTTCTTTTTGGCTAGCCAAACTTTCAAGATAAATTTGGTGTAAAGTAATTAAAACTTATTTGATATTGTATAATATAATTAAAACTTATTTGATGTATAATATAATTAAAACTGATTTGATATTGTATATTAATATTTTTTTAATTTTAATTTTTATATCTTTACATGTACAACAAATTGCAGAGTGTCATGTCTCGATCACTAAGATGACAATTTTATAGTCTAAAATTAAGAATAAAAATAATTTGTTTTGATGTTTTTTAGGCTGTAGCATTGTTAATCAATCATAAAATATATAATAAACAAAGCTGCAGATGGGCATTTGTTAAGCTCTAATACAACCATTTGAGAAATATATGATGTATTATTTGTCATAATTTTAAAATACCTACACCACAGGAGATGTATGTACATCAAACATTATAAGGAATAGAATAATTATTGAAATCTTTGTATCACGGTTGACATGATTTTCTTGCACTTTCAACCGTTTATGATAATTGAACAATATTAGATGGGTGTATCATGCTGTGGCGGCGAACTTTATTTAATTACTGTACGTGTACATAAATTGACGTATTTAAAATTTAAAACTTAATCACTGGGTATGGAGTTGTTTGCATAACTATGAATTAGTGCTGCATGCATCCATGCTATGTATTGTATTTATTAATGAATTCTTAGAGGTAGTCATGAATTAGCGCATTGTTGTCAACACCAACACCACTAAAATAATAAGTAAACATACAGTAAACATACAAAAATGAAAAAGTTTGTGAAGTACCGGTAATATTTTTTTAAAAAAATGTTTGTGATTTTTGTGTTCTTATCCTCAACCATAGACATTTAATAAACACCATTACTCAATGTACACAACTATTTCCAATAAATCCCTGTAAAAATCAGGAATGGGGTAATTTAAAAAAGTCATTGTAATTGACTGTAATTAATTTCATTTTTCTAAGTAATTGAATGTAATTTGTAATTAAACATTTTTAGCTCACCTGAGCTGAAAGCTCAAGTGAGCTTTTCTGATCACATTTTGTCCGTCGTCCGTCTGTCCATCTGTCTAGCTGTCCGTCCGTCTTTAAACTTTTCACATTTTCAACTTCTTCTTCAGAACCACTGGGCCACTTTCAACCAAACTTGCCACAAAGCATCCTTGGGTAAAGGGGATTCAAGTTTGTTCAAATGAAGGGCCACACCCTCTTTCAAGGGGAGATAATTATTAAGAATTAGTGAAAATTTGGTGGTATCTTTTAAAAATGTTCTTCTCAAGAACCACTGGGCTGAAAAAGTTGAAACTTATGTGAAATCTTCATTACATAGGGTAGATTCAAATTTATACAAATCATGACCCCTGGGGGTAGGGTGGGACTACAATGGGGGATCAAAGTTTTACATAGGAATATATAGGAAAAATCTTTAAAAATCCTCTTCTCAAGAACAACAAAGCAATAATTAGTCATATTGATGTTGAATCATCCTCAGGTAGTGTAGATTCAAATTTGTTCAAATCATGACTCCCGGGGGTAGGGTGGGGCCACAATGGGGATCAAAGTTTAACATAGGAATATTTAGGAAAAGACTTTAAATATCTTTTTCTCAAGAACAACAAAACCACAATTAGTTATATTGATGTGGAATCATCTTCAGGTAGTGAAGATTCAAGTTTGTACAAATCATGACCCCCCGGGGTAGGGTGGGACTACAATGAGGGATCAAAATTCTGCATAGGAATATATAGGAAAATCTTTAAAAATCTTATTCTCAAGAACAACAAAGCCACAATTACTCATATTGATGTGGAATCATCCTCAGGTAGTGTAAATTCAAATTTGTTCAAACCATGACCCCCAGGGGTAGGGTGGGGCCATAATGGGGGATCAAAATTCTGCATAGGAATATATAGGAAAATCTTGAAAAATCTTTTTCTTAAAAACAACAAAGCCACAATTAGTCATATTGATATGGAATCATCCTCGGGTAGTGTATATTCAAGTTTGCTCAAGGCATCCTCCAGTATTAGGGTGGGGCCATAATGGCAAAAGAACATATACATGTATAGGAAATATCTTTAAAAATCTATTCTCAAGAACAACAAAGCCATGAGTAGTGATATTGATATGGAAGCATCCTCAGGTAGTGAAGATTCAAGTTTGTTCAAATCATGACCCCCCCCCCCCCCCCAGGGTTCCATACCCTAGGGTATGCCTAGAGCAGGAGATCAAAGCTTTACATATGAATATATAGGAAAAGAAAGCTGACGAAGAACAGCAGGGCCATATTGACTCAGGTGAGCGTTGTGGCCCATGGGCCTCTTGTTTCAATTACTAGTAATTGTGATTTAATTAATTACACTAAAAAATACCATGTGATTTCAATTACTTTTCAATAACATTTCAATTACTTTACGTAATACATATTTATGATATAATTTACCATCACATCCTCAATTTACTGATTTTTTTTAGTATTGAACTGATTGTAGCTTTTCCTTAAGAAAAATTCTCAAGTGCTCAGGCCCATGGACCTTTTGTTTTAGTTTTTGATTTGTAGTTTATTTTGTACATGTATTATATTATATAACTATTTACCATTCCATGGATCCTTTACATTGTTGTATTATACACAGGTGGTTGTTTAGGCTCTTGGGCCTCTTTTTTAAAAAAATGTATATAAATATTGGTTTCTCTGTACATTACACAGGTATACACATGTATTTGTTACATCATGAAATTGGTTTTATTTTTTACAGAATGAAGGGTGTTAAAGAGGGAACAATTACAGAGAATACATCCTACTATATCTTTACCCAGTGTGCAGATGGAGCATTTGAAGCATTTCCAGTGGAGGAGTGGTACACTTTTAGTCCTATCATCAAATACAAGTACCTTAATTCAGAGGAAGCTGAAGAAGAATTCAATAGGTACAAATCAATTAATATGTCTCCAAACTCATACTATTGATGACAAATTAAAAAACAACCGTATTAATTTCTACTTTATGTAGCTTAATATAATCAGAGAAAATGTATAGGTAGCTACTTTTTTAGCTCACCTCAACGAAGTTGCGATAAGCTTATGCTATGCCATACCCCCAGTGTTGGCATCGATCATTGTTGGTGTCCCAGTTAAAGTTTTAGGAGCAAGTTCATTCTCAAGTAGCTAAAAGCCTACCTGAACCAAACTTGCAAAAATGTTACATCTAGGGATGGACACTACCACACTTGCTTCTAAAGCAGGATCTGACCTACATTTGCTGGATGAGTGATCAGGTTAAAGTTCTAGGAGCATGTCCAATTCCCAAGTAATGATATATAAGCCTAATTAGACCAAACTTGCAAGGATGATGTATCTAGGAATGTGCACTATCTAACCTGCTTCTGATGCTGGATCTGACAAACATTTCCAAGATGAGTGACTTTTAGCCAAACTATTAGCCCTTCAGTGTCCAAATAAGCACTGATGGTGCATTTAAGGATGGACATTATGGGACTTGCTATGGACACTAGATTTGATCTACATTATCCCTAATTTTTTTTAATGCTACTCCTCCTACAATATTTGTCCAATTTCAATAAGAATTTGTATACAGGTAGACTATACTAAGATACATAATTCTGTTTATCAGTATTTAGCTCACCTGAGCTTTTCTGATAGAATTTTGTCCAGCGTCCATCTGTTTGTCTGTAAACTTTTCACATTTTTATCTTTTTCTCAAGAACCAGTGGGCCAATTTCAACCAAACTTGTCATGAAGTACCTTGGGTAAAAGGGATTCAAATTTATTCAAATGAAGGGCCAGGCCTTCTCTTAAGGGGAGAAAATTACAAATTACTGAAAAAATCTTCTTCTCAAGAATCACTGGGACAGAAAAGATGAAACTTATGTGTAAGCATCTTCAGATAGTGTAGAATCAAGTTTGTTCAAATCTTGACCCCCATTAGTAGGGAGGGGCCACAATGGGCTATCAAAGGTTTACATATGAATGCATAGGAAAATCCTCTCAAGAACAGCAAAACCATGATTAGTGATATATATATGGAGGCATCCTCACTCCTCAGGTTATATATATAGTTTTGTCTAAATCATGTCCCCCGGGGAAAAGGAGGAGCTACAATGGGTGGTAAAAATTTAACATAGGAATACAAACAAAAAAATTCTTCTTCTCAAGAACAGTAAAGCATGTCATATTAAAGCATCCTCAGGTAAGGTTTAAGTCATGACCCCCAGGAGAAGAGGGGCAACAACAGGTGATCAAAGTTATACAAAAGAATATAAAGGATATATCAATAGAATTTATTTTCTCAAGAACAGCAAAGCCATGCTTAGCCTTAGTCATATTAATTCAGAAGCAGCTAGTGTAGATTCATAAACTGTTGAAAAATCTACTAAAGCCATGATTAGTCAAGGAAATATGTAGGGATGCATGATTTTAACAGTATACCAGTATATCGTGATTTTTTATTGCGGATATGTATTGTGATACAGAGACTAAAATATCGGGATTAGATTCATAATTATTAATTCTAGAAAGCACTAATTTTCATGTTTATTTGTTCAAACTATTAAAAAAAATTACACAAAGTATGTTGAAAAAGTTAAACTACGGCATCCAAACATGCTTTATATTTTAATAAAAATGAAAAAAATTATATTTTTAAAGTGTATTTGTAGGAAAAATTATGGAAATTCATTTGAAATTGTAGTAAAAATTCTGTGTAAAAATATCCTGATTTTATCGCGATATTTAAGGGGGGGAATGGGATATATCATGATATGAAATTTTTGGCGATACCCATCCCTAGAAATATGGAAGCATTCTTATGGAGTGTTCATTTAAGTTTGTTCAAATCATTCCCCCAGTACCTATATATATATATATATAATATATATTTTAACTTTTCACTTTTCAACATTGAACTGATTTCTGCTTTTTTCTAGCCAATGTGTTCAGGTGAGGGATGTTTCCCCTGGGTCTCTTGTTTAATTTCTCATGGTAACTAAAAAAAGAAATTTTTTGGAATTTCTTTTAAAATGCTCCTCTTGATACAGTTTTCGTCAATTTCAAATTTTGTTGCCATAGTTACTAAAAATGAAAATGTCTTTGAAATTCTTTTATTATGCTACTCCTCCTATAGTTTTGGTTCCAGATCCAATAAGTAATATATTAACAGCAATAATTTTGTTAAAGCTTGCGTACAATTTTTTGCACAGGGGAATGAAAATATTAAAAAAAAAACCCTTCTGGTTAGACTAAACTTCTGGTTAGACTAATTTTCAAATCAATTATTCTAAAATTTCTTGACTTTTAAAAATTCAAACTTCAGTAAAAAGTGTCTTATGTGATACCTGTGCATTCTGTTTCACTCTGAATTTCAATTCCATTCTACTATTTTCCCTGTTCTTCACACTGTGTAATCTGACTTATTGTCTATTATGACACAAAATTTGTCTCGCAGTGCATGTTGGATTAGACAAGTTTCACTTTAGTTTGATTTGTTGAATTTCAATTCCATTTAAATTTGATTTATTGAATTTCCAATCTGATTAAAATCAGATCTTTTGATCCGCTCACATAGATAGCTACACCACAAGGATCTGATGAAACCCCATTCAGGGTCATCTCTTGGTAACCTTACTAATAAAAATATTCATTGAAATTTTGACCAATCAGAGAGATCATATGTTAGTGACGTTCGGGAAAATGAATACAGAAGTGAAAGTAGCTGTGAAGAAGATCTTATCGTTTCTTATCGTTTCGTACAAAGAGCTAAAAAACAAGGCAAAAGCAAATACTAAATATATTTTTGTACAGAAAAGACTGATTTTTCTTTTGACAGGCTATGCAAACCAGGTCACAATTTCTGTTTGTATATCATCCGGGCTTTTACTTCTGTAAGTGAATTCCAAGGTACTTCTAAATTCTTGCCAGCCAACGTCTGATTCGATAATTGATAGGTCACCAGGAGATGACCCTGAATGGAGTTTCTTGAGATCCTTGTGTAGCGATCTAATATGTGAGTGGATCAAAGAATCTGATTTTAATCAGATTGGTTGAATTTCAATCCCGTTTTGCAGGAACTACACACACTAACTCTCGATTCCCGCCTACATTTTACACCCATTTAATTCAATACTTATGGCAACTCGGCAATAAAATCTTTGTTGAATCCAAAGAAGAGTTCAATGGTAATTGATTAATAATTTTAATGCCAGTGTTAAATAGTTAATTAGGGCCCTGCAAGGATTTGCGGGTGCCCTGTAGTAATTACTCTGTCTGTCCGTCTGTCATTCTTTCGTCCACAAATTTTCTGTTTTTTTTTTTTCTAATAACTTTTTTTAGGGTTGACCAATTAAGTTCAAATTTGGTATGATGGTTGAATAGGCAGTAAGACATATTTTGATGCTAAGTTTGGTTCTCTATGTCATCCGGTTTGGAGCTGGGGTGGTGGGGTAGATTCCTTAACTTTATATAAGAGTGAATTGGCAAAGAGAGATAACTGCTGAGAATGTTCCTGTTGTAAACTATGAAAGGCTGCAATGAGTCTCTTGGGATTAATTAACTTTCCTCTTGAAGAAAATCCAAAGGATTTATCTTTATCTCTCACATTGAGATCAATTAACACCTCTTTCTACAAAGGAAGTTTGTTTTGAAGTTAAGGTCAATTCTGAATGATGTTTACATTCTCTGAATTGTGGATTTAAATAATGTTCATACTTTATTAGTCCCCTACCGGTGAAACTGGAGGGGACTATATGTTTCCTCTGAGTCTGTCCGTCCGTCTGTCTGTCCCTCTGTTTGTCTGTCAGTCTGTCCCACTTGGTTTTCCGCAGTTTTTTCGTAAACGCTTGCAGATATTGAGCTGATTTTTTGTATGTAAGTGTATCTTGATGAGTTACAGATCAAGTTTGCATTTCGTTTCATTGATTTTTGACGGAATTATGGCCTTTTCAATTTTTATGGGTTTTCCACAATTTTCTTCTAAACGCTTGTAGATATTGAGCTGATTTTTGGTATGTGGCTTTACCTTGATTAGTTATAGATCAAGTTTGCATTTCGTCCCACTTCATTGATTTTTGACGGAATTATGGCATTTTCAATTTTTAATGGGAACCAGATTACACTTGCCGGTAGGGACTAGTATTGCTAATGCAATACTCTCAGAATGCTTGTTTTGGTAAAATACATAATGAGTTATGATTTTATTGAATTCTAAAAACAAGATATATATAAAGATGTATTTTTTATTATTTTCTATTTTCTTTTTCTTTTTTTCTTCTTTTTTCTGCCTTATGTAAATTCAAGAATACTATTTATTTTAACAGGTATTCAGATAATAACCTCATTCTATCATTGCTGAAAAAGTTCTTATTGTAAACTTAGAAGAAAAGGTTGAGAGAGCAGTATAATTAATCCCCTGAGATTGATTATCTTGCTGGTTGCAGAAAATTTTAGAGGGTTATCTTTCTGTCACTTTAAGATTAACACCTTTGCAACAGATGTTTTTTATTTGAAGTTAAGGTCAAGCCTTGGTGATATTTACATTCACTGAAGGCTGGCATTTTGCATTCACTGTAGGCTGGCATTTTAGAAAACACATCCTTCATTTTTCTTTAGATATACATTTAATTGAGTTATTATAGATGTGATGTTTTTACTGCCTTATGTAAATACAAGGATACTATTTACAAGTTGTTGGATATTTAGGAATTATCTTGAAATTTTATAAATACAGTTGCTGTTGCTTATTCTTCTTCATATATTTTTAAATTTTTGTAATCAAGTAAAATTCTCATCCCCTAACCTAGTGCACCCTTATATTTCTACCCCTCATTGGGGGCCCTTGCTGACTGGTCAGATTTCTAGTTACTCTTAATTCCAGCTCTTTTTATAAGGGGGGTAGACAAAGTTTTCCATTGAAATCAGGCTTGAAAGCATGAGCATATTTTGAAGTATTCTTGGATATGGATAAATGTTCTTTAAATCTTATGTTTTAAATCCTTATGTTTTATGCATATAAAATTAAACATACCGGTATGTAATTGATAAAATACAACGTTTAAGTTGTTTTAAAAATTTTTTTTTTATTTCTATAGTGAAAAACACAAGTTTTACCAAAATTATAGAGTTATCTCTCTTTGTTTTTCCAAATAAGTAATGTTTATGAAAATTCATATAAATATCTATATAAATATGAAAAATCATTCAAATATATTAACTTTTAAAAATTGACTTGGAGGTAGGCAGGAGAACAATACTATCGTTTGCAGTTCTTTGTTCTACACATTTTGTAGCCCGACACCCTGTCTATTCCGACACAAAAAGACATATGTTTCACTTTAATTTGATTTGTTGAATTTTAACATGGTCCTGTGAACTTTGAGTCATCAAGACATGTGATAACTTGAAAATATCATCTGAAAGTATTTAGTTGTTTGATTAATAGTAAAAAAAAAAACAGTTTGTAAACATTTCTATGTAAGTTTTTATGTGTTGCAGACGAGACAAAACTATGAATTTGTTTTCTGTCATGGTGAGGAATCGTGTACGGAATGAAGAGGAGGAAGAAGCAAACCCTGATGAAGAAGATACAATAAAAACAAAGACCAAATCAAAGAAAAAGGAAAAAAGTGAATTTGTAGGTTTTATTGAGTTATACATTCATTTTTTTTTGGAGTTTGACCCACTTTTGAAAATTTTTTATTTTGGTCTTTAACCTTGTCTATGAACTGTCATATTGGGGCACCAGTTTGTCACACATCTTTTGGTAACCATTACAGAAGATAACAGATGAAGAAGATTGGGCTAATTATTCAGATGAAGGAAATGAAGAGGAAGAAGATGAAGAGAAACTTAATGAAGATGAAAATGGTAACTTGTTTCTGACATTAATTTCCATCAATACTGTTTTTAAAACCCCTACCATGAAATACAGCTTAACAGTGTTTAACTGTTCCTTCCATCATTGTAAGTCATTCCATCATAGTTATTCATTACCTATTAGTCTATTCAGAAGTAGGGTTATAGTAACTGCAGGATAAAACAGTACATATGAGTAAGCTTGCTGTTTATTCATAGTTCTGGTCTGTCAAATCAAAAGCTGTTTTTTTTCAAAAGCCAATCAAATTGCTTAGCATAATAAGGCATAAAGATGCATTGATGAGAGGCCATTTTGTCCAAAAGACTTCTGGGAAGTCTGTGAAGTTTTACTAATTTTGGCAAAGATGTGCTTTGGGAATGTGTAATGTTGATTAGAGGTATCCAGTGAGTTATAGTATGGAGTGAAACTTATTTTGTTCCCTAAAGCCAAGACTGATCTTGAGAAATGCCTCCATTATATAAAAGCATGCAAGAACCGCACAATCAGCTAAATGTTCAGCGATGAATAAACATACAGCAGTTTGTTCAAAGATATAACTATTATTTATTGGTAAAGGGGATTTTGACAAAATAGAAGAAAATAATGTTATAAGTGGCATTTTAACAAATTGATTCAATATTTCTGGGAAAAAAATATCAGGGCCAAAAGACTATAGCCGAGAAACTTGCCAAAAAAAAAAAAACCATAGCAAAAACATGCTGCCTTATTATACCTTAAATACTCATGTGCTTCTTTTACTTTAATAGTTTAATCAAGCAAATACCATATAGCAGGATTTTTTAGTGGAGTGCTAACTTTGGCATATTTTGGTGATTTGGTAGTAGCACGCTAAAATTTTAGTTGCTAACTTTTGCAACCCTGTGTACAGAAGTAAAGAAGATAACTTTAATGAGTAAATTGTTAAACATTTTACTGGTATATTTCTTTGCTTTTTACATAAACTCTTAAATAATTCAGTATTAATGCATACAAATCTACTGAAAATTCTTCTGGAAGATGAACTTACTCTCTCTGCAATGTCATTTATCTCCGTGTCCACCAAATATAGTTCTGCTAAAATAATTGGCATACCTTTGAGCAAGCAAAATGCCAAATTTTACACCCGCTAAAGAAACATGCTATTGGTAGTTCTTTGACAACCATGGTAACAGCTGTGTGTATTTATAACCTAAATCTGTTGAATAGATTCTAAGAGTAAAAAAAAGGGCAAGAAACACCAGAAGAGAAATGCCAAACACAATTCTGATGATGAGGCAGTGGAAGATAGTGACGAAGGGGATTTTGATGACAGAGAGGTTGACTACATCACCGACTCCAGCAGGTATAGTAAAACGGGGAGTGTACAGATACTAAACACTCCCTCATTTAAACAGATGAATTCAGTTACCTGGATTTTCCTGTTTTAATTGATCTATTTACTGAAACAACATCTATATATACCTACACATCTATACCTGCCATACCTATTTCATCAGAGTACTATAGCCACCAACCAAAAGGTTAGGTGTCATACAAAATGTAAATTTAGAATATTATTTTATTTCCCTTAGTTTACAATATCTGTTGATGTAAAGTTAAATAATTGATTCAGTATTAAGGTCTACCAGATGGCATTGGCTATCACGTTATTATGAATCCTTATGATGTGTAATTAGTAAATCTCTTAAGTCGTAGCAACAAGTTATTTGTGAGGTGTAATTGTGGGTGTGTTATTGTACAAACTTGTGGTCAAGATTAAAGAAAATCCTAGAACCTAAGGTCAACAAAATAATTAATAAAATTATCCGAAATAATTGTTTTTATTTTTTTATATATTAGATGTGTTTTATTTCTTGTCTGTCTTTGCAATTGCCAGTCTACAGTTTTATTTAAAGTACAATCATTCATTTGTACTCAGCCATTTTTCGAGGGAAATACTTATCTGCATTCACAGAAATGGCCAAGCTAGTAGTTCAGATTCTTTCTTACTTGTGATAGTTATACATGTGCATTACAATTTCTGCTGTTATTGCTAGTATATGTGCTTATTTCCTATGGTTTATTTAAATTATGTTTTTTACTAACTATGTATACTTTTACTAACTTTTATCTATGTAAATTTGTTAAAGTCGGTTAAAGAGCTATCATAGCACATGTTATTATGTTATACTGTATATATATGCTGACTACAAATAAAATTTACTTGACTTGACTTGACTTGTTGCACAAAAGAATAATAAAAAGTCTTAAAATTGTGTACCATTTCCTCGTAATGGTATATTTTATGTGTATCAAGGTAGTGTCAACCATAATTTTTTCGTATTTAATGTATTTAAGATTTGCTCTATTAACTTGTTTCATTGCTCAAGTTTTATATAATCCCATCAATTAATGAGATCTATCACCTACCTTTGAGAATTTATCTCATATTATTAGAACCATGACTTTTCTAGTGAAGAAGAAATGGAAGACAGGGAAAAGAAAGGCACCTATGAAGAAAAAGGAGTTGATGAGGAGCGAGGCCTGAGGAAATTGATAGATTCAGAGGAAGAGGAAAGTGAGGAGGAGGAAGACCAGAAGTCAAATAAAGCAGAAGAAGAAGAGGATGAGGAAAAGACAAAAAAAGAAAAGAAAAAAGATGGTAGATCAATAATACTTACTGATTACATTATATCAGATCTTTGAGTCGGCTTGTTGTACAATAATATTCCTCTGAAAGAAGATGGGTCAACAAGCCAAGAAAAATGTTTGTAAACTATTACATCTCAATTTTAACACAATTTTCTTATGATATGAGAAATCCCATTATTTGCAACAATCTCACAAGTATTAAAATTATTCATTAGTGAAATAGCATGCCCACACCAAAGAGGGAAAAAATTATCATTTCTTCATACTGCAACACAATTTTTAGCTCACCTGAGCCTACACCTGAACCATAGGCTCAAGTGAGCTTTTCTGATCAAAGAGTGTCCAGCGTCCGTCTGTTGTCTGTCGTCTGTAAACTTTTCACATTTTCGACTTCTTCTCAAGAACCACTGGGCCCATTTCAACCAAACTTGCCACAAAGTATCCTTGGGTGAAGGGGATTCAAGTTTGTTCAAATGAAGGGCCATACCTTCTTCCAAGGGGAGATAATTATGAATTCGTGAAAAATTAATGGCATCCTTTAAAAATCTTTTTCTCAAGAACCACTGTGCTTGAAAATATGAAACTTAAGTGGAATCATTGTGAGGTAGTGTAGATTCAAGTTTATGAAAATCATGACCCCTGGGGGTAGGGTGGGGCCACAATTGGGGATCAAAGTTTTACATAGGAACACATAGGAAAAATCTTTAAAAATTCTTTTCTCAAGAACAGCAAAGCCACGATTGGTCATATCTATATGCAAGCATCCTCAGGTAGTGTAGATTCAAGTTTGTTCAAATCATGACCCCAGGGGGTAGGGTGGGGCCACAATGGGTGATCAAAGTTTTATATACAGTAGGAATACATAGGGAAAAATCTTATAAAATCTTCTCAAGAACAGCAAAGCCATGATTAGTCATATTTAAATGGAAGCAGCCACAGGTAGTGTAGATTCAAGTTTGTTCAAATCATGACCCCAGGGGGTAGGATGGGTCACAATGGGGGGGATCAAAGTTTTTAGGGATGTCAGATCGGTCAATTTTTGATAATCGGTTACTCGGACGTTTTTCCGATCGAGTACCTGGGTACTCGGTAAAAAATGTAAATACAAGTGTATCAATTTTCTTGATCCTCTTTAAGTTCTGTTACACCCCAAAGCTGTTTTTATCACATTTATAAATGTATATAAACATTTGTTTCCAACAGAAACGATTTTCTGGTACTAAATTTATTTATCAAACACAAAAGACACAATTAATACATCAAAAATTACAAATGGTTTACAGTTCTTGTTTAGGATCTATTTCACCAAAAGGAGGACAATCTGTTACGCATGTTTGGGATGTTTAGACTAGCGAAAGAGAAGGACCGACCGTTGTTGGGATCGCTAGTCTAATATTTCATATGTTGATTTTTCCCCCCGTATACAATAAACTTACAATGCATATTGACTTTCAACATTTTTTTGAATCTTTAGTTATTTCTAAATATTTCTTCACTTTGAAGTGGGTAGGGGCATTTCTATGCAAGTCCAATTTTGCTACCGTATATTAACTAAATAATTTTAAACTGATTTGAAGATAATAGACCATCGATGTTCACTGAAAACAATCATTGAAGCCATCCAAAAATTAAGGACCACAATAGGTGAGAACAGCTGGGTGACTGGTCACTAATTACTGTATATATACAACCGCAGGCGATAACAGGTGTTTTACAGGTGTAGATAACGACACGCAAATTACCGTATGCATATTTAAGTTATTTTTTGATAAGCTTTTGATGAAAATATGTACTTTGAAATAAGAAAAAATACACATCTGAGTAACCGAGTACCATTTTTAGTATACGATACTCGGACGTTCAATCGAGTACCCGGTTAACCGGGTACTCGTTGACATCCCTAAAAGTTTTACATCGGAATACATAGGAAAAATCAGCAACAGTCATTTTGTGTCATACATGTATTAATTCAAAAGCATCCCTCCAAACCACTTTTATATTTAAACTTTTCAAGACTGAACTGATTTTAGCTTTTTCCTAGCCAAAGTGCTCAGGTAAGCGATGTGGTCCCTGGGCCTCTTGTAATTATCTGCCAGTCAATAACCAGGTAGCAAATTTTGAAAAGAAATACCGTTACTAATTTTTTGTTTGCAGAATTGTAAACATGTAACTTGCGGATTCATAATACTTTAGTAGAATTAAGATAATGCCACTTTGCAGAAACTTGGTACTGAAAGAATCGGGGTTTTTTTTTACCAGGTTCTGAGAGCAGCAGTAGTTCCAGTTCAGACAGTGATTCAGATATAGAAAAAGAAGATAATCTAGCTTCAGTCATTTTTATGCAGGTGGGTGCAGATTGTGTGTACACTAGCATATTTCTCTACAAAATCATCTCAGTCTTGTAAAAATTTGTCCTCAATTCGCAAGAATATTGATAATTATGTACCGGTAATAACTTTGTGAGTTACTGAATGCAAACTTTTCACTGGTTTATCAATCCTTTTTAAGACTTTCTGCACTTGGTTTTAATATTTCACATACTGTGACATTAATATTAAATGCAAAAAAATTGAATTGATGATAAATTGGAAATATATATAAAGGAGAAAGGCCGAAAACTGTCCATTCTGTGAGAGAAAGAACTAATAGGCCCGAGATTAGTTCTTTCTCTCACAGAATGGACATTTTAGGCCTTTCTCCTACTTAAAACATGATTTCCTTTGTTCTAAGAATTAAATAAAAAATGTACAAAACTGGTATCAGATATGACAGTTAGCATACATACAATGACAAGTTCATTGTTTACGGAATGGACAGTCATAGGTAAGCAAGGGATGCAGAGCAATTTTTTAAATAGCCATTGTGTTTCCAGTTGCAAATAACAAAAGGTCTTCGTCTTAAGAATGGACAGTTACAGGTGGATTTTGTGGAATACTTATATTTAATATACAAGTATGTGATGCTTCAAAATCAGTTTACAGTTTGCATTGTAAAGGTATACATGTTTCCTGTGATGGAGAGAGTGTATGACAGAACCAAAATCTAATAAACCAAAAATATGCACAGAATTAGTGACATTTGGATATGGAATCAAAAAAGTGAGAGTAAAAGAAATATTAGCCAAATTTTGAACCGAAAATGAACTTCGACGACAGATACAGATGATCAAAGTCGAATCAAATCTGGAAATGTTTTATTTGAATTATATATTTGAGGATATATTAACTGAAGCAGTGTAATGGTGAGATGCAAATTGTGTTCTGAGTGTTGGATTAGCCATAAGCCAATCTTCGACCAGAAAATGTCTTTCAAATCAAATCTGGAAATGTTTCATCTTTATTTATTTTCTATGGAAATATTACCTGCAGCAGTGTAGTGTGCATGGTGCAAACTGTTTTCTGGGTTGAGGATTTAATATTAGACATACTTCTATCTGAAAATGAATTCACCTTAGGGGGAATGATTTTTCTGAAATTTTAATCAAATGTGAAGTTGTGTCATTTGAATTCAAGTTTTGTTAAAATTAAGTTTGGAGTATTGAAATAATGTGCAATTATTCATGGATTTAGAAGAGTAAAATCAAGTGAATGCTGTGCAGACATTGTGTTCTGGATTAACTTAGATCTCCGCGTTCTTTTTGTTATTTACATGTAAATTAAAGAGTATTCAATGTATTTGTTTTTGTTTCCCTCTTGAATACATTCCAGTTTACCTGTAACTCTCCATTCTGTTTGTTTTAACTGTCCATTCTTTTTGAAAAAACTGTCCATTCTTAAAAGAATGGACAGTTTTCCAAAAAGAATGGACATGCACTTACAGGTAACTTAATGGATAGTTTGGGGAGTTAGCTCAACATTAAGCCATAGAATGGACAACACAAACAAAAGGTTTACGTCACAATCATGTTTTAAATATATTTAAGATGTACTTAATTGTAATTCATACTTTAATCATGTTACTTACTGACAATGGATTATTTAAACATTTTACCATATTTCATAGATACAAACATTTCTGAGATTCTTATGCACTATGTATAATATTCCCTTACTGATGCATAGTCTGCTTCCCGTTAAAAATTAAGACAATTACTCCACATCCAAAGGCTGCGACTTCATAAAAAAAAATCATGGAAACATGATTTGCAGGTAGACTTGCATACTAAAAATTAGCTCATTAGCTGCAAGGGTGTAGAAAAAATTCCAAAACAGCAAGTGGAACAGAGAGAGGGGCAGACTGACAAACAGGAAACCTATAGTTCCCTGCAGTTGAGGGATACTGTATGTGTACTTATTAAAGCAGGCTTCATATTTTAGCGGCTTTGGCACAGACAAGGATGTGCTAATTCATGGATACCGCTAAGAATTCATTAATGAATACAAAACACTGCACTACAGTGTGTAGTGCTAATTCATGTTTATGCAAACAACTCCATACCTATTGAATGTGCTAAATTTTAAATACGCCAATTTATGTACACGTACAGTTGGGATGGGTATCAGCAAAAATTTTGTATTGTGATATATCACGATTTTTTCCCCAAAATATCACGATAAATTGTGATATTTTTACACATAATCTTTACTACAATTTCAAATGAATTTCCATAATATTTCTTTAAACTATGCTATAAAAACATAACTTTACTTTTTAAATTTTTATCTATTTAATATAAAGCATGTTTAGATGCCGTTGTTTAACTGTTTTCAACATTTTTTACACTTCATGTAATTGTCATTCAATAGTTTGAACAAATAAATGGAAAATTTCCAGAATTTATAGCTATGTACCAAATACCAGTATTTTTGTCTCCATATCACGATATGTATCACGCAATAAAAAATTGCGATATACCGGTATACCGATAAAATCACGCATCCCTAACGTACAGTAATAATCACTAAATGCTATCATGGAGCAATCATATGTATAGAATCAGCCACAGAGTGAGAGGTGCTCTCATTGCTTAATGGAAGCAGAAATACAACAAGAGGCCCAAGGGCCTTAACGGTCACCTGAGTACAATACAACAATTTAGAGGATCCATAAACTGAAAAATGAAGCTTTGTTGCCCAAAAGCAAGAAAAATAGTATGATTAGCATCAACAAAATAATTGGTCTAGTATCTATCTGCCTATCTGACTTTCCAAGTCATTAAATCTATGAAAGTACATTTTCATTATACAATAAATTATCTTGCATAATTCTCTTATTCTATTAAGCTTTCAAATACATTATTTACATTGATTAATTATCAAAGGTGAATGGCAAAGGGGAATAACTTTGCTCAGCAGAATACAAGTTAATAGAGCCCTGGCCAGGACTAGAACACTTCACTAAATGGTCCAGGTGTTCAAAAATCTGGTAAAAATACCCTTGCATATTAAAACTTTTACTCTGTTTGCCTTGAACATCCCCAGAAGCATAGAAGATTTTCAAAGAAATGCATTTTCACCATAAAATTAAATAAATAAAGCCCCATCCTTACCCAGAACATCTGACCCATTGGCCACGAACTCACAATTCTGGAAGAAGCACCCTTTCTCATTATAACTATACACTTGTTTCTTTACTTTATAACCAGTAGTAGAAAAAATATTTTGAAAGAAATTATGCATTTTCACTATATATAATCAATAGAGCTCTTTCCCCCTCACCAGAACCCCTGACCCAAAGGCCATGAGGCATTCTTCCTTATCATAACCATGCACTTCCTTTGTTTGAAAAATACCCAGGCGCACACAAGATTTTGAAAGAATTCATGCCAATTCCCTATCTAATCAATAAAGCCCCGCCCTAACACCAGAACCCCTTACCCAGAGGCCATTAAATTCATAATTTCTGAGGCAGCCATGCTCATCATAACTATGTACTTAGTTTATTTAATATCCAGGAGCAGAGAAGATTTTCAAAGAATTAATGCAATTTTACTATATAATCAATGGAGCCCATCCCTAACACCAGAACCCCTGACCCAGGGGCCATGAAACAATTTCTGAAAAGGCAGTCATGCTCACCATAACTATGTTCTTAGTTAGTTTATTTAATACCCAGGAGCAGAGAAAAAGATTTTCAAAGAATTAATGCAATTCTACTATATAATCAATAGAGCCCTGCCCTAACACCAGAACCCCTGACCCAAGGGCCATGAAATTCAAAATTTTGGAAGAGGCACTCTTGCTCATCATAACTATGTGCTAAGTTACTTTATTTAATGCCCAGGAGCAGAGAAGATTTTCAAAGAATTAATGCATTTTAACTATATAATCAATAGAGCCCCACCCTAACACCAGAACCTCTGACCCTGGGGCCATGAAATTCACAATTTTGAAAGAGGCACTCTTGTTCTTCATAACTATGTACTTAATACCCAGGAGCAGAGAAAATTATTGCAATTCTACTATATAATCAATAGAGCCCTGCCCTAACACCAGAACCCCTGATCCTGGGGCCATGAAATTCAAAATTTTGAAAGAGGCACTCTAGCTCATCATAACTATATACTAAGTTAGTTTATCTAATACCCAGGAGCAGAGAAGAAGATTTTCAAAGAATTAATGCCTTTTCACTATATAATCAATAGAGCCCCACCCTAACACCAGAATCCCTGACCCTGGGGCCATGAAATTCATAATTTCAGAAGAGGCACTCTTGCTCATCATAAATATGTACTAACTTAGTTCATTTAATATCCAGGAGCAGATAAGAAGATTTTCAAAGAATTAATGCATTTTAACAATATAATCAATAGAGACCCACCCTAACACCAGAACCCCTGACCCTGGGGCCATGAAATTCACAATTTTGAAAGAGGCACTCTTGCTCATCATAACTATGTACTAAATTAGTTCATTTAATACCCAGGAGCAGATAAGAAGATTTTCAAAGAATTAATGCATTTTAACTAATGTATATAATCAATAAAGCCCTGCCCTAACACCAGAACCCCTGACCCTGGGGCCATGAAATTCACAATTTTGGAAGAGGCACTCTTGCTCATCATAAATATGTACTAAGTTACTTTATTTAATACCCAGGAGCAGAGAAGAAGATTTTCAAAGAATTAATACATTTTCACTATATACTCAATAGAGCCCTGCCCTAACACCAGAACCCCTGACCCAGGGGCCATGAAATTCACAATTTTGAAAGAGGCACTCTTGCTCATCATAACTATATACTTAGTAAATTTATTTAATACCCAGGAGCAGAGAAGAAGATTTTCAAAGAATTAATGCATTTTAACTATATAATCAATAGAGCCCCGCCCTAACACCAGAACCCCTGATCCTGGGGCCATGAATTTCACAATTTTGAAAGAGGCACTCTTGTTCTTCATAACTATGTACTTAGTTACTTTATTTAATACCCAGGAGCAGAGAAGAAGATTTTCAAAGAAATAATGCACTTTCCCTATATGATCTATATAGCCCCACCCTAGCACCAGAACCCCTGACCCTGGGGCCATGAATTTCACAATTTTGGTAGAGGACTCAATGCTTATTACAATGATGCCAACAGTTTGACTGCTTGATGTCCAGGAGTAAAGAAGAAGATTTTTAAAGATTGCATTATTTTTGGTGGTTTTAGCCCCACCCCTCAGGCCCCAGGGGGGCAGGGACCATGGAATTCACAATTTTTGTTCCCCTTCACCCATAGGTGCTATATGCCAAATTTGGTTGAAATTGGTTAAGCGGTTTCAGAGAAGAAGCTAAAAATGTTCAAATGTTAACACACGACGCACACCGCACGACGCACGCCGACGGACGAGAACGGATAGCAATAGGTTACCTGAGTGACTCAGGTGACCTAAAAATCCTGGTACTATAATACTATATTGATATAGAAGCCTTTCAGCACTTGATAAAAATCATTCATTTTCTGCAATGTCAGTTCATGCCAGTTAAGAACATTCACATTGAGTTGTATTTAACTCTTTGAAAGGGTAGATGCTTCAGTTTACAAAATTATGCCAGTATTAATTGAATAATTAAAACTAATGTAAGGCAGCATGACTTATGGTTAGTTATATTGTAATTAATTTAAAAAAAAAACTAATTAAGGATGACATTTATTCAGGTGGCAAAAAATTCCACTGATGGCAATAAAAAATCAACTATTGTACATTGTAGACCTTTGATTGTGGTGCTATTTTTCACTTTCAATTAGGTCAATGGCCTACTTTTAATGCTAGAGGCTTCTGAGTATCTATACATATAAATTAATAAATTTTGCAAATAAACTCTGAAACGCCTGCACCAGAGTTCATACTTATTCCTCTATGAATACATTAGTTATGAGATGATGTCCGTAAACTTTATTGAGATTTCACTTAAATTACTTTGCAATTATCGTAAATTTAATTATAAGTCTACTCCATTATCTAGATTCCCTTCACTGATCCAAAAGATGGCCTCTTGTAACAAGATTGTTTTTAGTTTTGTTTCTCATTATGTTTTAAAGTACATGTATATATTTAAATTGATTGTATTTTGTAGAAAAATAAGAAAGAGAGAACTTCTCCTGTGCCAAGATCTTCCACACCCAGCCTAATGGATACAGAAAATAAGAAAGGTGCAAATTCAAGTCATTGTAATAGTAGAGATATGTAGATATATTTACTGTGATTTCATTGTTTTATAGCTCTACTGGTCAGAGACCAGAAGAGGTTATGTGATAGCATCCATCCATCTGTCTGCCTGCCTATATAATTCTTTTTATCGGTTTTCATTTTCGATGAATGGTGTTGCCATGGTTACTAAAAATAGAAATTTCTCTGAAGTACTTTCAAAATGCTACTCCTCCAACAGTTTTGGTCTGATTTTTTTAGAGTCAATGTTATGCAAATTTTATCCTTGTTATGGCAATTCTTTTTAACAATTTTGTTATATAGCCCAGAAAAGAAAAATGGAGTCTGAAGACACTCCTTCTAAAAAGTCTAGAACTGAGAGCCCTGGAGTCAGTGCAAAGACATCAAGGTATTTATCTACTTTCTGAAAAGTTAAAATGTTAGTAAAACAAATTAAAAAAAAAACATTCATCTTAAAATTTGTCTCAATGTCTTCAATAATAGTTCAAGATACAAATAGAAAGCAAGTCTTGATGATTACAAGTCTCAAGGGACTAAAGATTTAGAAATTTTTTTTGTAAATGGGAATAAATAGGAAAAAGTCATCACAAATGGGGGAAAAATCTTTAGGAATTTTCTCACAAGTGGCAATGTATCAATATGCAAGCATGACCAGGTAGTGTAGATTCATATTTGTTCAAAACATGGCCACCTGGGAGTGAGATGGGACCACAGTAAGGACTCAAAGCTTTCAGTGGGATATCCAGTAAAAGAATAATAATCTTAAAACCAGCAGGATCAGGATTAGTACATGTATTATCAGTAATATGCAAGCATCCTCAAGTTATGCTGATTCAAACGGGTGCACGATGTTTTGTGACCCTGATGTTTCGGGACCTGACTAGTACAACATTTCGGGACTAGCAACAAGACCGTTGGGGACTTAAATGGTAAAGACAATTCGGGTCTTGGGTTAAATTTTTCGGGATTTCAACAAATTACATGTATCTTATGGTGATATAATATGTTTTTTCTAAGTACACATAGCACACAATATAAAATTATTTCAAGCTAGATACGCATTATAATTTATTTGTACATGTATATTATTAAGTTGTCATAAAAATATAGTTCAATGTTTTATTCACAACAGACGAAGAAGAATAAAACTTTACTATATTCATTTTTTTTTTTTTTGGTACCAAAATTGAATCAAAATAGAAAAGATTTCTCACATTGATGAAAATCATTTACAATGAAAATTAATAATTTTTATTCAAGTGATCTCCAGCTACCGTCCAATATATTTAAAACATGTCAGAAAATTGTTAAAACAACAACTAGGATCACACACACGCACAGACATATCCTGACTGATACTGGACATAGGGAAGTGTTACTTGAAGGCGCCGCCGGTAATGAGAATTAAATAGATTGTGTGTCTCATGGTTTCTCTTGAAATTATTTTTAAAAAATAATGAGGAAAAAATGTGGAGAAAAATATCATTGCTCAGTGTTGTTTGATTATTGGTAAATGAAATAATTCAAATAATATTGATAATAGTAATATCCAATCATCAAAAAGATTAAACAAATATAAACTTGTTCAAAACGTTTTGAACTTTTTTTGAAAATGTATCAATCATGTGATTTTGGTTTTTTAGCTCACCTGAGCCGAAGGCTCAAGTGAGCTTTTCTGATCACTTTTTGTCTGGCGTCCGTCTGTCTGTCCATCTGTCTGTCTCTTTGTCCATCTGTCTGTCTGTAAACTATTAACATTTTCAACTTCTTCTCAAGAACCACTGGGCCAATTTCAACCAAACTTGCCACAAAGTATCCTTGGGTGAAGGGGATTCAAGTTTGTTCAAATGAAGGGCCACGCCCTCTTTCAAGGGGAGATAATAAAGAATTAGTGAAAAATTAATGGCATCTTTTAAAAATCTTCTTCTCAAGAACCACAGGGCCAGGAAAGAAGAAACTCATGTGGAAGCATCCTCAGGTAGTGTAGATTCAAATTTGTTCAAATCATGACCTCAGGGGGTAGGGTGGGGCCACAATGGAGGATCATGTTATTACATAGAAATATATAGGAAATATCTTTAAAAAATCTTCTTCTCAAGAACAGCAAAGCCATGATGAGTCATATTTATTTGGAGGCATCCTCAGGTAGTGTAGATTCAAGTCTGTTCAAATCATGACCCCCAGGGGTAGGGCGGGGCCACAATGGAGGATCAAACTTTTACATAGAAATATATAGGAAAAATCTTCTTGTCAGGAACAGCAAAGCCATGATTAGTCATATTTATATGGAAGCATCCTCAGGTAGTGTAGATTCAAATCTGTTCAAATCATGACCCCCGGGGGTAGGGCGGGGCCACAATGGAGGATGAAAGTTTTACATAGAAATATACAGGAAAAACTTTAAAAATCTTCATCTCAGGAACAGCAAAGCCCTGATTGGTCATATTTATATGGAAGCATCCTCAGGTAGTGTAGATTCAAATCTGTTCAAATCATGACCCCGGGGGTAGGGCGGGACCACAATGGAAGATGAAAGTTTTACATAGAAATATATAGGAAAAAACTTTAAAAATCTTCATCTCAGGAACAGCAAAGCCCTGATTGATCACAGAGTTGTGGAAAACTTTTTCAGATAGCCAGTCATTCGGACTGGCAAGAAGACAAAATAAGCCGGTCCAAAGTGATTTTTGCCAGTCCAAAATAGTAAATCGCAAAATTAAAAAAAAAAAAAAGCATAAAATTTATTCACTTCATTACACATCTATTTACTTAATAATAATATAACTTTCAGTCTCCATTACCAAATCCTCTTCCGACTTTGTTTTTTGCATTTATAACAATAGTAGATTTCACCGCTTTTGGGCAGGTGAGCATAGTTAATGCAATTTTTTTGAAACATTTATGCATTTATGTATTTGGGAATTAAATGATTCTAAAAATTGAAGGAATTCTGTGCATCGATAATAAAGATATCAACACGATCGATGAAAAGACGAAATCCAGGACAGTCAGAAGTATTAGATTTACCACTTTCCCCACCTGTGTTTGAATTCTTTCTGTCGAAATTTTTCATATTTAGTTTGTCTCTATCTGTTTCTTTCTGTCCCTTGTAAATTTAATAGGTCATGAGACCATGCTGGTTTCGCTTTCATTTATAGCCTAGATCTCGTGTAAAGAAAAAGTATTACGCAATTGCATATAAGGTACGATAATTAAGCTGGGAAGTGCGCCGATGATAAATGGAAAAAACAAAAAAAAAATTAACCAAAAAAAGGGGTCGGTCATTTGGACCGACATCAATAGCATTTTTACCGGTCACACACATTTTTTGCTGGTTTTGCCGGCATGACCGGCAGTTTTCCACAACTCTGTGATTAAGGGTGCAACGATAAACCGTTTGGCGGTATATCGCGGTATATTTTTCCACGGTTCAATTCACGATAAGCTAACTGATATCGCGGTTCGATTCAATCGGTCCAGAATTCCCTTCTGTCCGTTTTATTTCCTTCATTACTATTTCAAAATGGCTTCCGAGCAAAACGTGAGGTCGCCGATAACGCATTTACGGCAGTTAAACTCATCTCCAGCATCTTACAGACCTCAGATTTAACACGGAGAAGGACTTACTGTGATTATAAGTTATAGATGTTAAGACAAATGCTAAACCCTTTAGATCTAAACGTATTCTTTGGTAATACACGATATTTCATCACGTGTGTATTTCGATGAAAATTCGCTGTCTTGTTGACTAAAACGTATTAACATGAGAGATATGACAACTGGTTTTCTACGTAAATAAAAGGAATAAAAGAATGAATGTCTTCCTTTTTCATTCCAATTTAAAAGGAAGATTATTAGGAAAGATCCCTGTAGTTCCCTGTAAATATTCATCATTGGTTTAGAATGTTGTCCCAACTCAAAGATCTACCTAACAATCCAATTCAATTTATCAAAATGTAATTTTAATTATTATTTAAAAATATGAACATTTTGTATAACCCTGTCAAGTTTAAAAAAAATATGATGACAAACTTGAAAGACTTTTTAACCTTGTCATGTATCATGATACGTATTGTATCGTGAACTGAATACCGTGATACGTATCGTATCATGAGGTTAGTGTATCGTTGCACCCCTGTCTGTGATCATATTTATGTGGAAGCATCCTCAGGTAGTGCAGATTCTATTTTGTTCAAATCATGACCCCCGGGGGTTGGGTGGGGCCACAATGGAGGATCAAAGTCTTAAATAGAAATATATAGGAAAATATCTACTTCTGAAGAACTGCAAAGCCATGATTAGTCATTTTGATATTGAAGCATTCTCAGGTAGTGTAGATTCAAGTTTGTTATAATGATGACCCCCGGGGATAGGGTCGGGCCACAATGGGGGATCAAAAATTTTACATAGGAACATACAGGAAAATATCTTCTCAAGAACTGAAAATCATGTTTAGTCATTTTGATATGAAAGCATCCTCAGGTAGTGTAAATTCAATTTTGTTCAAATGATGACCCCCGGGGGAAGAGTGGGGCCCAATAGGGGGTCTAAAGTTTTACATAGAACATATAGAAACAATATTTCTTCTCAAGAGCAGAAAAGCTATGTTTAGTCATATTGATATGGAAGCATCCTCAGGTAGTGAAGATTCAAGTTTGTTCAAACGATGACTCCTGGGATAGGGTGGAGCCACAATGGGGGATCAAATTTTTACAAAGGAATATATGGGAAATTTTTTTAAAATCTTCTTAAGAACAACAAAGTCATTTATTATATTGACATGGAAGCATCATCAGGTAGTTTAAATTCAAGCCCCCCCCTCCCCGGGTAATCTTTTCAATACTGAACTGATTTGTGCTTGTGCTTTTGCCTAGCCAATGTGCTCAGGTGAGCGATGTGGCCCATGGGCCTCTTGTTAGCTCTACTGGTCAGAGACCAGAAGAGCTTATGCGATAGTAAGGTGTCCGTCATCCGTCCGTCTGTCTGTCTAGCTGTCTGTCTATCCATCTGTCTGTAAACAATTTTTCAAAACGCTACTCCTACAGTTTTGGTCTGATTTCAATATAACTTGGCTCACAAGTAGACTGTACAATGATACATAATTTAGTGCATCAGTTTTCGATTTTGATGAACGGTGTTGCCATGGTCACTAAAACTAGATATTTCTGTGAAATTCCTTTAAAACATTTTGGTCTGATTTCAATTTAATTTGGCACACAATTAGAATACACTACAATACATAATATGTATTTCGGTTTTTTATTTCAGTGAATGGTGTTGTCATGGTTACTAAAAATAGAAATTTCTTCAAAACGCTACTCCTCTTACAGTTTTCGTTTGATTTCAATGTAACTTGGCACAGAAGTAGACTACATTTAGATACAGAATTCTATTTATTGTTGCACGTTGCGCAGTTTCAAATCCAAGTACTACTTTTCCTTTGTTATACGTACAGACCAGTAGAGCTACAGTCTCATCAGAGACTTCTGGTTTTTCAAATGTTATTATTAGGGATGTCAATTTTGTCAATAATTCATATTCGAATATTCAATGAAAGTATTCAAATATTCGATAAAATAAATAAAATCTGTTTATTTTAAATATGCATCATCCTATCTCTTGAAAGGTTAAGCATAGGTATACTTATATTGGAAGTAAAATTGTATGAAGACTTTTGTAGGTATACAATAAGAAATTCCATTTGATATTTGTCAATGTTTGAAATAAATAATTGATTTAAATGTAGAAAAGTATAATTTTATAAACTAAAACGTGTATTTATAGTAGCTCCAACTGAGGAACCAGTCGTCTTACCAAAGGCAACGGTATACTATTCAGATTTCATTATGTGTAATAAATTACAATTATCTGCCTTATAGGAGATATGATTATAATCTTTGATACAATGTTTTTAAAATATAAACAAATATTTCCATAGACAATTTTCGTAGGTAATTAACTAAATTCTCGATAATGAATATAAAATTCAGGATTATGTACAACCCGAAATACACGTAATCAAGTAATTTACACATTTATTCTGAAATTGAGCCCTTTACAATATTAATTACAGCCTATTTCTATCAGACATTCATTCAGTGATCAATTAAATTTGTTTTGATAAGTATACTCTTTACATCTTTTAGACTTTCTAAGAAGGTTTTCCTTTTGTTGTCCTTGATTCTAGATCTGATCATATCTAGTTTAAAAAAAACTATGAAAGTACCTTTTGTATTATACATAAAGCATTCTTGTACAATTCTTTAACACCTTACTCAAAACAAAATACATGTAATTTAGTAGATCTATATAAGAGAAGAAAATAGTGAAAGAAATCAGGCGATCAAAATTAATCGCTAGTAAATTAAACAGGGATAATCCCAGCACTGTTCTTAGCAAAATTTATCAATCACAGCACTTCTTTTTATGAAATCTGAAAAACACCGAATATTCGAATCTTAAATTCATATTCAAATATCAACTCATCAAATGAATATTCGAATGTTGGAATATTTGTTGCCATCCCTAGTTATTATATATAATAACATCATTTTGTATGATACTGTTTTAAGGTATATCACTCGTCAGCTTTTAGTTTTTGCTTAAAATTCTTGATATAACTAATGTCAAAAGTGACACACTTTAAAAATGCTTAAAACATTTTAAATTTCATTATATAGCTTTATCTATTTTAATGTGGCCAAGTGGAAATTTGAAATTCAAGTTACCTAGTGACCGAATCATTTTTAAAAAAAAAAAAATCTATAATGTCTTTTAAACATTTTCACAACAAAACATGAATATTTGCAGATTAGACATATTTATAGTGTCATTTGTAAAACATTTCCATGAAATGTATCTTAGAAATAATACCATAATATCTTTGAAAACATTTTTAAAATATTTTTTTAATGTTATAATGAGCCAGAAAATGTTTTAAAAACATATTCAAATTGGTTTCTCTCAAATGCTTAGAATAACCTTAATTTTACAATTAAAGATGTTTTGTGCTTCCAGTAAATACGTATTTTTTTTTTTTTTATAAAAGATTTTTTTTAATTAATTAAGTATGCAGAATTTAGGAATAAACCAGCTGAAATGAACTTTTGATATAGTAGTTAGTGAGATATTGGAAATAATTTTGGTCAGGTAGTTTATAAAATATTTTAAAAGTTAAAATTTTTCTTGGACAACCCTTGTATATTTATTTTACATTGTATTTTACTCTATATTATAATGTCAGTCGGAATTAAGTTTTGAAAACGGATGACAATACATGTATTACTCACCCAAGCTTGAAAATCGAGATTAAAATGCATTTTACATGATTATTTTTTCTTACAAATAAAAAAAAATTATCAGGAATATATACATTTGATAAATTCCCACACGTGTATTTCTGTATTGTAAAATTTCAAAATTGACCTTGATAATTTCATGTTCGTGTATTTGATTAAAATATTGACTATAAGCTCCTTTCCTTGCCAATCACATTTCAAAGCATAGGATATATGTAAAAAATATACCTTAATAAAAATTAATAATGCTGATTTAAATACTTCAATAAGTTTTTATAAATCTAAATACTTTATTTGAAGGAAAAAGTTGACTAACTATTGAGCATTCAAATTCTTCAAGAGTTCGAAGTACCTCAGTCTTGTGGAACATATTTTGACCAACTACCGTACTGCATTCGTTCGACATTTTTTTCATGCCGACATTATATTTCAATGTGTTATAGGCCTACTAAAATTCTTATATATATCATGCTAAACACGTACTAAATAATATGAATTCATTCTTCAAACAATTTATTTCAAGTCCCAAAACGTGTTAATCCAAGTCCCGAAACATGTTGGCCCAAGTCCCGAAATGTGTTGTCAGGTCCCGAAATGTCGGGGTCCCGAAACATCGCGCTCCTGAAACATCCATAATTAGATTCAAACTGTGGCCCAAAGGACCTTGACTACACTTTTCTTACATTTGCATTTTGCTTAGTTTCAAAGATGCTATACAGGGATATATTTATCAAACTTCATATGTTGATACAAATTAATAATTTTTAGCTCACCTCGGCGAAGTCGAGATGAGCTTATGCTATACCCCTGGCGTTGGCGTTAGCGTCAGTGTCCTGGTTAAAGTTTTAGGAGCAAGTCCCATTCCCAAGTAACTATAAGCCCTATCTGGACCAAACTTGCATGGATGATGCATCTAGGGATGGACACTACCAGGCCTGCTTCAGATGCTGGATCTGACCTAGATTTTCCAGATGAGTGACCAGGTTAAAGTTTTTGGAGCAGGTCCATTCCCAAATAACTATAAGTCCTACCTGGACAAAACTTGCATGGATGATGCATTTAGGGATGGACACTACCACACTTGCTTCGGATGCTGGATCTGACCTAGATTTTCCAGATGAGTGACCAGGTTAAAGTTTTTGGAGCAGGTTCTTTCCCAAGTAACTATAAGCCCTTCCTGGACTAAACTTGCATGGACGATGCATCTAGGGATGAACACTACCAACCTTGCTTCGGATGCTGGAACTGACCTAGTTTTTCCAGATGATTGACCAGGTTAAAGTTTTTGGAGCAGGTCCATTCCCAAGTAACTGTAAGCCCTACCTATACCAAACTTACATGGATGATGTATCTAGGGATGGACACTACCACACCTGCTTTGGATGCTGGATCTGAAATAGATTTTTCAGATTAGTGCCTAGGTTAAAGTTTTTGAAGCAGGTCCATTCCCAAGTAACTATAAGCCCTACCTGGACTAAACTTGCATGGATGATGCATCTAGTGATGAACACTACCAAACTTGCTTCGGATGCTGGATCTGACTTAGGTTTTTCAGATGAGTGACCAGGTTAAAGTTTTTGGAGCTTGTCCATTCCCAAGTAACTATAAGCCCTACCTGGACCAAACTTGCATGGATGATGCATCTAGGGATGGACACTACCACACTTGCTTCGGATGCTGGATCTGACCTAGATTTTCCAGATGAGTGACTAGCTTAAAGTTTTTGAAGCAGGTCCATTCCCAAGTAACTATAAGCCCTACCTGGACCAAACTTGCTTGGACGATGCATCTAGGGATGGACATTACCACACTTTCTTCGGATGCTGGATCTGACCTAGATTTTCCAGATTAGTGACTAGGTTAAAGTTTTTGGAGCAGGTCCGTTCCCAGGTAACTATAAGCCCTACCTAGAGCAAACTTGTGTGGATGATGCATCCAGGGATGGACACTACACAATTGCTTCCGATGCTGGATCTGAGCTAGATTTTCCACATGTGAGACAAGGTTTAGATTTTGGAGCAGTTCCATTCCCAAATAACTATAAGCCCTACTTGGACCAAATGTGCATGGATGATGCATCTAGGGATGTACACTAACCAACCTGCTTCGGATGCTGGATCTGACCTAGATTTTCCACATGAGTGAATTTTAGCCATATTTTAAGCAAATTAGCATGGATGATGTATCTAGGGATGGACACTTCCAGACTTTCTTTGGATTCTGAATCTGACTTACATTTTCCAAAACATTGTTTTTTGAGCAGGTCTATTTCCAAGTAACTATAAGTCCTGCTCAAACCAAACTTGCATGGATACTGATCTTGGTATGTACCCTAACTAGAAAAAAAATATGATGTGAAATTTGCCTTACTTATAGATAACATTCGTCGAGGTGAGCTTCGTAATCTTTGATTACCTATGTTTTTTTACCTTGAATTCTCTATGACATTGACCTTAATATTCTTAGATTTGTGTTAGCTCAATTTCAAGGAGACTATTAAAGTCTTTTTTTATTTTAACACATGTACTGATACATATTGTTGAGAACTTATCGCTGTGTCTATATTTTTAAACTTGACCTTCCCTGTGAGCTTTGACTTTACTGCTGTGTTGTAAACTCAGTTTCAAAGAAATTGTCAAAATATTTTCAGAAAATTCATGCATAATACAAATTTGTGAAAAATTTTCAACTGTCATAGATTTCTGACCTTAACCTTCCCCGTGACCTTAACCTTACTATTCCTCAATTACTCTACTCTTAAACAAAGAAGCAAGGTACATTTCTTTTTCATGTTGCATTCATAATTAACCTTAGGTAGGGCATTCATGACCTATGGACATATTTCCAGTTTTTTCTTTCCTGTTTTTGCCCAAAGTAGAATAATTATTATTTAAACTGTTTGCCAGTAGTAGAATAATTATTATTTAAACTGGTTGACAGTGCTGGAATAATTATTATTTAAACTGTTTGACAGTGCTGGAATCACAGAAGAGGCCATTCGTAGGTACTTGATGAGAAAACCAATGACAGCAAAAGAACTGTTAAAAAAATTCAAGTCCAAGAAGGTCAACATGAGCAAAGAAGAAATGACAAGCACACTGACAAAGTACCTCAAAAAGATTCAGCCTGAGAAGAATATTATCAACAAAAAGATGTACTTTTCTCTGAAAAAAGATTGATTTTTCTGAGTACAAATCATTCAAGCTCTATATGTAAACCACAAAACCCATGCAGTTACATTTATCAGTGACAATTGATATGCAAACAAAAGTGCTCTAAAAAATTTTAATTTGCCAGAGTATCCAAAAAATGATGTAGAACAATATTCCATGCAGTGGAAAAAGTTATTTAACTACTGTTTTATTGTTTTGAAAACAAAGATACTGAAAAACAAAAAAAAAACCCACTAACAAATGACAACTGTTCCACCATGACATGATATAACTGCATGTGTGTTTTGATTAGGGTTCTGTAATATTAAGAGATTACTAAATTCAGGATAGGGTGTTATCAGAGTTTGATGTTGTACATAAACTACTGAAAGAAAACAGAGACAAAATCTATTCCGAGATATTGAGGGCATGGATTACATTTGATGTAAGGAATATTTATGTTCAGTACATTGATCCAGAGAGAATAAAAGGTTTTCACTTCAGCTTTGGTCTATTGTCTCTCAGTTTCATGTTTTTATGACAGCATGTATTTCAGTACACTTTTGAGTCATGCCTAAATTGCTTCATGAGAACTTTATTTTGCATAATTATGCTAGGTTGTCTGCTAGCGAAAAATTTATTTTGCATTTATTTTTAGCTCACCTGAGCTGAAAGCTCAAGTGAGCTATTCTGATCACCCATTGTCCATCGTCCGTCCGTCCGTCCATCCGTCTGACCGTCCGTCCGTCCGTCTGTAAACTTTTCACATTTTCAACTTCTTCTCAAGAACCACTGGGCCAATTTTAATCAAACTTGGTACAAAGCATCCTTGGGTGAAGGGGAGTTTAAATTGTTAAAATGAAGGGCCAAGCCCCCTTCAAAGGGGAGATAATCAAGAAAAGACAAAAATTGGGTGGGGTTATTAAAAAATCTTCTTCTCAAGAACCACTGGGCCAATAAGGCTGAAACTTATGTGGAAGCATCCTTGGGAAGTGTAGATTCTAAATTGTTCAAATCATGACCCCGGGGGGTAGGGCGGGGCCACAATAGGAAATCCAAGTTTTACATTAAAATATGTAGAAAAAATCTTTAAAAATCTTCTTCTCAAGAACCACTGGGCTGGAAAAGCTGAAACTTATGTAGAAACATCCTGGGGTAGTGTAGATTCTAAATTGTTCAAATCATGACCCCGGGGGGTAGGGCGGGGCCACAATAGGGAATCCAAGTTTTACATTGAAATTTGTAGAAAAAATCTTTAAAAATCTTTTTCTTAAGAACCGCTGGACCAGAAAAGCTGAAACTTATGTAGAAACATCCTGGGGTAGTGTAGATTCTAAATTGTTCAAATCATGACCTCCAGGGGTAGGGCGGGGCCACAATAGGGAATCCAAGTTTTACATTGAAATATGTACAAGTAGTAAAAATCTTCTAAAGAACCACTGGGCTAGAAAAGCTGAAACTTAGGTGGAAGCATTCTTGGGTAATGTAGATTCTAAATGTTCAAATCATGACCCCTGGGGTAGGGCGGGGCCACAATAAGTACTATAAGGGGGGGGGGGGAATCAGTTGAAAAACAGCAAGGCCAAAATTACTCAGGTGAGCGTTGTGGCCCATGGGCCTCTTCTTATTAATAAGGATTATAATGAACAATAACCAAAATTCTTTAAAATTTTGTCTTGCTAATAAATACCACATCTTTTTTGGGAAAATAAGGTGACATGGAAATTTGGTGATCTACAGTTCTTGAAATAATTAGGGCCCCGCAAGGTGCCCTATAGTAATCACTCTGTCTGTCTGTCCGTCTGTCTGTCTGTCCGTCTGTCATTCTTCCGTCCACAAATTTCCTGTTTTTTTCTAATAACTTTTTTTGTAGTTGACCAATTAAGTTCAAATTTGGTATGTTGGTTGAAGAGGCAGTAAGACATATTTTGATGCTAAGTTTGGTTTTCTATGTCATCCAGTTTGGAGCTGGGGTGGTGGGGTAGATTCCTTAACTTTACATTAGAATGAATGCCAGGGCAAAGAGAGATAACTGCTGAGAATGTTCCAATTGTAAACTATGAAAGCTGCAACTAGTCCCATGGGATTAATTAACTTTCCTCTTGAAGAAAATCCAAAGCATTATCTGTTTCTGTCAAATTGAGATTAATTAACACCTCTGTCTGCAAATGAAGTTTATTTTGAAGTTAAGGTCAAATCTGAATGTTGTTTACATTCTCTGAAATGTGGATTTAAATAATGTTCATACTTTATATTGGTAAAATATACAATGAGTTATGATTTTATTGAATTCTAAAAACAAGATATACATAAAGATGTTTTTTTTTTTATTTTTTTTGTTTTTATTTATTTATTCATTTTATTTTTTTTTTTTGCCTGCCATTGTAAATTCAAGAATACTATTAATTTTAACGGGTAGTCCTGAATAATAAACTAATTCTATCATTACTGAAAGAGTTCTTATTGTAAACTTGGAAGAAAAGGATAAGAGAGCAGTACAATTAATCCCTTGGGATTAATTATCTTGTCTTGGGCAGAAAATTTTCCAGGCTTATCTTTATTTGCCACTTTAAGATAAATTAACCTTTGTCTGCAACTGATGTTTGTTTTGAAGTTAAGGTCAAGCCTGGGTGATATTTGAAAACACATGCTTTATTCTTGTTTGAATATACATTTAACTGAGTTATTATAGATATGATGTGTTTTACTGCCTTATGTAAATACAGGGATACTCTTTACAGGTTGTTGGATATTTAGGAATTATCTTGAAATTTTAATTTTATAAATACAGTTGTTATTGCATATTCTTCTTCATATATTTTTAAATTTTTGTAATCAATTCTTATTCTGTAAGCTGCACTCTTATATTTCTACCCCTCGGCGGGGCCCTTGCTGACTGGTCAGTTTTCTAGTTTATTCAAAAACTTCTACATGAGAAGAAAGAAAAGCTGTGGCCTTAAGCTCAGTATATCCTAGTAAACTCTAAAGATACAACAGAGCCTGCCAAAACAGTTTCATATTTGTAGGACTAGATTTTACTTACTATAGATGATTAGGGCCAACTAAACAACAAAATTGTATGACAAATGAGATGACTTCAGCTTTTCCATCATCAATTCTTCTTCTTTATGTAGTAATATTCTGCTATCACCTGTACATGGTGTTTATGTGTCCCACCTTATTCAGTACTCAAGAACATGCTCTGAGTACAATCAATTTTTAAACTGAGATGGGCTACTGATAAATAAGTTGATGTTACAGGGATTTCAAAATCACATTAAAAGTCAGCATTTCGTAAATTCTATGGTCATTATAATGACCTTGTTAGCAAATATTACCTATCATTGGGTTTTAATTTGGCTGATGTGTTTCATAACAATTGTTCAGCCTTTGTTTTCATACTTGATTTGAATATGAAATATTCCTTACTCCTCTTAGGCATTGTTTGTAGATTTTTTTGAGATTGATCACTGTTCACAGAGCTGTTTAGTAGTATGAAAATTCCGCATTTATCCTCAGTTTTTGGTTCAAAATACAGATTATAGATACCTGATGACCAGAAATTATGTTTCTGGGTAATGTTTCAAATTGTAATTCATTTTATGTCATATTTTAAAACAATTCAAGTTTAAAATACATCAAGAAAAAGTGTTTTGGACTTCAAAATCACATTAACATATTCATGGTATTTGAGATATCAGAGTTCAAGATACAAAAGTTCAATCCTAGTACTAAGTGAAAATGTTTACCATTATCATCATTATTAAAGAATTTTTTTAAAGTGCTAAAAAGATTAAAAAATTACTCTGAGATGCTGTGCATAAAGTGTAGATATATGTAAGATTTTGATACTAATGTTTAGAAAACAATTAAGGTTCATGGACCTTCTGACAATACAGATAACTCATTTGAATAAAAGACTATCCCCTTTTAAAAGTTGTCAAGCTTATAAAAAGATCATGTCTGTCAAATTTTGCCCCACAGGGTGTGCTACAATTGCATGCATTTTAGCTATAAGTTCAGTTTTATTTATTTGCCTACATGTAAACTTTATCACCATCACCAAACTAATGACAACATGCACATAACAAATAAACTTGTAAATTCCCTATACTACTGACCTCTCTACCTACATGTAATTGGTTAACATTGAATGTACAAAAATAAGGTATTTTTGTCTCATTTCTATTCATCTTATTTACAAGTCTACATTACAAATATTAACTTAAAAGGTACATTTTAGGTCACTTGATGATCTTTTGCTATCTGTTTTTGTCCATAATGTGTAAACTTTTTGAACATTTTCAGCCTCTTCTCTTGAACCACTGAACCAATTTCAACCAGTTTTGGCATATAGCATCAATGGGTGAAGGGGTACAAAATTATGATTTTCACCCCCCACCCCACCCCCACCCCCTAGGGCCTGAGGCTAAAAGCATTGGAGTTAGGAAATTAGAGTATCTTTAAAAATCTTCTTTACTCCTGGCCATCAAGCAGCCATACTGTTGGAATTATTGTAGTAAGCATTGATCCCTTTACCAAAATTGTGAAATTTATGGCCCCAGGGTTAGGGGGTTCTGGAGCGGTAATGATCATATAGTGAATTGCGTTAAAAACCTACTTCTCTTTAGCAGATAAACTTGGTTGCATGGTTTTAATGATCTTTAGCAGATAAACTTGGTTGCATGGTTTTAATAAGCAAGGGTGTCTCTTCCAAAGTTGAAATTTGTGGGCCCAGGGTCAGGGATTTTCGTGTTTGTGTTGGGAGGATGGGGGCTTTAATGATTATATAGTGAAGGTGCATTATTATTATTTCTTTGAAAATCTGCGTACCTGTTTTCTGCTGTATAGTATATGTGGCAAAATTATTGTGGGGGCGCAACTGTAAATTAGCTATGTTTTCTATTGTAAAGTATATACATGTACTGGTGAAATAATTACCCCTCCCCATTTCCTAAGGGCCTTTGTAATACTTGGCTGTTTTTAAAAAAGAGAAAACTGTTATTTTCTACATCTGGATACAAATTTACTTGATTGTGTCTGTAATAGTATCATATTCCACAACCATCTATGCTATAAATAAAGGTTTTTAATGCATGTCTTGTCTGACCAACTACATGCTACTGGAACAGTGAAAGAAGTCCCTTTTTGGGGGGGGAGGGGGGGGGGTGTCTCATTCTAAGACTTGTGAATTGATTCACAGCATCAGGGGTCCTGAGTTAACTCTTGGCCCTTGAACCCCTGACAAACTTAATTTGAAATTTGATTTATAAGAGTATACGCCTTTCCGGGAAATTACAAATCCTGATGGTTTTTCTTATTTCGCAACCAACAACATTTTGATGACAAACAACTAAATAGGTGCATTGATGTGTTAACGGCTTATTTTCTGTTTATTTCATATCAATTTATGAAAGCCCCAATTTCATTGGTGATTCTCAATGAGAGAAGCTGCCCCAAGAAAACACAAATGTCCCACAGCCATATTTTGACCCCATCAAGTTCAAGATAACAAAGTTTGACTGTATCAGTTGTAAGACAATTACATGTTTTTAATCTTAAATTTTATTCTGTATTTCAGGTAAGTAGTCAATTTTTTCTACAAAATTTATGAAAAGAGTACCGATATATTTGAATAATAATTCGATAAATATGTATAAAACAGTGAATTGCAAAAACTGACAATCAAAATTTGCTCCAACTTCAAAATACAGCAAATTTGTAGTACACAGTTTTTCTATTTAGAAACGATCTCTAGGATACCAAACACAGTTATAATAAAAACAATTGATTATCGTCTCTGTGACTGCTCCACTAACCACTGGATGCTTGGAATAACACCATCTAAAGTGTCCACTTCAATATCATGTACCTAAGAGAAAGAGAAACAATTTTATTGCATATTTTTAAAGATTGTTTTGTCCCTGAAATGCAGATGAAATCTCAATCAAGAGAGAGAGAGGGGGGTAAGAGAGAATTTATGATTAGATCAATAAGAGTCATGAATGATAATTTGATGTTACCCCAGTGTGTGATTTACCTGCCATGGTCTGTTAATGGCTGAGATCTCTAGAGACTGAACAATGTCCACACAGGGTACTCTCTGCTGCTGATGGGTGGGGATACAGGACATCACCAGTATTGGTACATGTGTCGCTGACCATCTCTCATTAACCATGGCAAACATCTCGGCTTTGTCTTCTTTCACTGATGTACCAAATAGAAATGCTTTTTGCATTAATGGATCAAATGATGCACAAACACTTAATATAAGCTTCATTAATGCATGCATTTTCAATGAAATTTTAGACTTCTCATTTGATATGAATTTCATTCAAAAATTGTTTCATGTGTTTTACCAAAACTATTTCCTTGGGATGCATCGACAACATAGATGAAGGCGTCCACAGTTCGACAGAAATCTCTGACCGCTGGTTTTAGTTCCAGTGTTTCTGCTCCATCTTCAGCTGTCCTAACTTCTAGTAGGCTATTGTTCTGGAGTCTGTTCCTCCTCTCCAAACGAACTTTTTTGGAAGCAGAATATAATACTGACAGTTGGAATACTTGTCCATTTTGCATCTTTAAGCACCACCCTGATCCTACTCCTGGTAGAAATAAAAAAAAAAGGGCTTCCATTACTATGACAAACATTCAGTAAAATGATATGATTTTATTCTGTCTCTCTTGCAAACTAGAGTTTTAAAATTTTATAAGGGAAAAAATGTTATTTTTTCTTTATTGCAAAATATTGAAATTTAACAGTAGGATAATAAATGTATAAGGTAAAACCAAATAAATTTCTTATTTGTCAGATTTCAAAGAAATGAAAAAATGGAGCCCATGGGTTTCAACACTCACCTGAGTAATTATGGCCCTTGTTACCTATTCAAAGAGGTGATATCACCTAATGAAATTGATATGACCTATTCAAATACATAATATCACTTATTTGAATAGGGGATATCACCAATTCAATTCAAAAAGACAGTGTCACATATTACCTCATCTATTCAAATAGGTGATATCACCAGTTCAAAAGATGAATAAGTGATATCTCCATTAAAATAGGTGATATCATCTTTTTGAATAGGTGATATCACCAATTCAAACCAGAAGTCTCTGATGAGACTGTAGCTCTACTGGTTTGTACTTATAACAAAGGAAAAGAAAAGTAGCACTTGGACTTGAAACTTTGCAACAGCAATAAATAGAGTAATGATCCTTCGTTTAGTCTCTTTTTGTGGCAAGATTTATTGCAATCAGACTAAAACTGTAGGAAGAGTAACCTTTTAAAAGTTTTTTAATAGAAATTTTGATTTTAGTAACCATGGCAACATCATTCATCAAAATCAAAAAAACTGATAAAGACAATTATGTATCTCAGTGTAGTCTATTTGCATGCCAAGTTACATTTAAATTAAAGCAAAACTCTAGGAGGAGTAGCATTTTGAATGTATTTTACAGAAATTTCTATTTTAAGTAACCATGGCAAACACTGTTCATCAAAATCAAAAACCAATGCACTGAATTATGTATCTTTGTGTAATCTATTTGTGGGCCAAGTTATATTGAAATCAAATGAAAACTGTAAGAGGAGTAGCGTTTTAAATGAATTTCACAGAAATTTCTATTTTTAGTAACCATGGCAACACTGTTCATCAAAATCAAAAACCGATGCGCTAAATTATGTATCTTAGTGTAGTCTACTTGTGTGCCAAGTTATATTGAAATCAAACAAGAGGCCCATGGGCCACAACGCTCACCTGAGTCAATATGGCCCTGCTGTTCTTCGTCAGCAGATTTCTTCTCCTATATTTCTCCTATATATTCATATATAAAGCTTTGATCGCCTGTTCTAGGCATACCCTACCCCAAGGTGCCATGTTTTGAATGAAATTGAATATAAACCTTCTGAGGATGCTTCTATCTTCATATAACTAATCATGATTTTGCTGTTCTTTAAAACAGAATTTTAAATATGTCTAACACCCTACCCTGGGGGGGGGGGGGGGGGGGGGGTCATGATATGAACAAACTTGATTGTACACTACCTGAGGATGCTTCCATATCAATATGACTGATCATGGCTTTGTTGTTCTTGAGATTGAAGAAGATTTTTAAAGATATTTTCTGTATATGTTCTATTGTAAAACTTTGATCCCCCATAATGGCCCCACCCTACCACTGGAGGATGCCTTACACTAGCTTGAATCTACAATATTTGGGGAAGATTCCATATCAATATGACTAATTGTGACTCTGTTGTTCTTGAGAAGAAGATTTTTTTTCTATATATTCCTATACAAAACTTTGTTCCCTCATTGTGGCCCCACCCTACCCCCGGGGCTCATGATTTGAACAAACTTGAATCTACACTACCTGAGGATGATTCCATATCAATATGACTAATTGTGGCTCTGTTGTTCTTGAGAAGAAGATTTTTTAAGATTTTCCCTATATATTCCTATGTAAAACTTTGATCCCCATTGTGGCCCCACCCTACCCCTGGGGGTCATGATTTGAACAAACTTGAATCTACACTACTTGAGGATGATTCCATATCAATATGACTAATTGTGACTCTGTTGTTCTTGAGAAGAAGATTTTTTTTCTATATATTCCTATACAAAACTTTGATCCCTCATTGTGGCCCCACCCTACCCCCGGGGGTCATGATTTGAACAAACTTGAATCTACACTACCTGAGGATGATTCCATATCAATATGACTAATTGTGGCTTTGTTGTTCTTGGGAAGAAGATTTTTAAAGAATTTTCCTATATATTCCTATGTAAAAATTTGATCCCCCATTGTAGCCCCACCCTACCCCCAGGGGTCATGATTTGAACAAATTTGAATCTACACTACCTGAGGATGATTCCATATCAATATGACTAATTGTGGCTTTGTTGTTCTTGAGAAGAAGATTTTTAAAGATTTTCCCTATATATTCCTATGTAAAACTTTGATCCCCCATTGTGACCCCACCCTTCTCCCGGGGGTCATGATTTGAACAAACTTAAATCTACACTACCTGAGGATGATTCCATATCAATATGACTAATTGTGGCTTTGTTGTTCTTGAGAAGAAGATTATTAAAGATTTTCCCTATATATTCCTATGTATAACTTTGATCCCCCATTGTGGCCCCACCCTACCCCCAGGGGTCATGATTTGAACAAACTTGAATCTACACTATGTAATGAAGGTTTCACATAAGTATAAACTTTTCTGGCTCAATGGTTCTTGAGAAGAAGATTTTTAAAAGATGACACCAAATTTTCACCAATTCTTAATTATCTCCCCTTGGAAGAGGGCGTGGTCCTTCATTTGAACAAACTTGAATCCCCTTCACCCAAGGATGCTTTGTGGCAAGTTTGGTTGAAATTGGCCCAGTGGTTCTGGAGAAGAAGTCGAAAATGTGAAAAGTTTACAGACGGACGGACAGACGGACAGACGGACAGACAGACAGACAGACAGACGGACTACAGACAAAATGTGATCAGAAAAGCTCACTTGAGCTTTCAGCTCAGGTGAGCTAATAAAAACTGTAGGAGGAGTAGCATTTTGAAAAATTGTTTACAGACAGATGGACAGACAGACGGACGGATGCCAGACACCTTACTATCGCATAAGCTCTTCTGGTCTCTGACCAGTAGAGCTAAAAATGAATATGCGATATCTCCAATTAAATAGGTGATATCACCTTTTCAGATAGGTGAAATCACTTGCAGTAAATACCAAAATGGCCCCACATACATTTTTCCCAACATATTCCCAATTAAAAGTCTAAAGCTGTTACCCAACCCTTTCCCTGAAGGACATGATTTGACAATCCTGGGGCTAGAACTCGAACAACTGCTGTAAGACTTCTAGGTTTTCCTGACTCTTCATGGCACCCCCCTACTTTTGATATATCTTAGGAGAACACAATTATCTAGAAGCATTCATGCAGTTGATCCTTCTGAGACACAATCTGGTAGCAATCACTGAAATGGGAAAAATGCACACTATTCTGTGGGATTCAAGGGATAATGTAACGCCCTCCAGTATCACTTTCAAGAACCCAACACAATTTTTACAATATTCCCTAATTAAAAGTTGCACTTTAGCAACTTAATCAACTCAAAGCTGTAAAATAAGTACATTTGTATGGTTAAAACTGATTCATTATGATTTTGGAGAAGGTAATGTTGGAGTCAGCCTATAGAGAAATGGACTGCAGACAATTTCCATCAGAATAGTTCCCTTGATTAAGCCAATGAAACAATTAATATATGTAACAATTACCATCAAACTGGCCTGGAACAAGTCCTACTCTTTCCAGCTTTTTTGACTGTGTGTAAAGAATTTTTGGTACAATAGTACTTGTGCCCGATTCCAAACCAGGTCCAAACATGGCTATTTTAGGTGTCTTTTTGGGTAAAAAATAACGAATCATGTTTGTTAAACTGCTGATTAATGCATTGTCTTCACGCATAAGATAATTTATCTGTGGTGAACATCGAAGGTATCTGCAAAAAAAAAAAAGGTTATTGATAGAGCTTAGGATTGCATTTCTTTCTTGAAATACATTGTACATGCAATCGAACCTCATTATATCTCAACCCCCATGGGACTAAGGAAAAATCTTTTACTAACTTTTACATATCCTTCATGGTATTTGAGATATCAAAGTCTGAGATAATGAAGTTCAACTGTGTTAAGAAGAATACAATACATGTATTAAGCAATTGTTAAAAGCTAAACATGTAAATTTATGTAAAAGTTATACTTGCATCTCTTTGTTGCTCCATTCAGACTGCACTTCTATATACAAGCCTGGATTGGTTTGATGTCCTATCACATTCCAGAAGCGAATGTCTCTTTCTAATATTTTACCCCATAAGAGATTGTCAGAAGTCAAAGTATACCATTCTTTAGAAACCCGTGATATTCTACACAATTGTATGGCATCCAAACTTGAAAACACATGAAGCTTTACATAGACCTAGAAGAGATAATCTTTTTTAACCCCAAAATACACCTAAAGGCTTATCTTTTATGCTTGAATTGTAACATATAAGGTTATAACTAGTAGTGGGATGTTTCACCATATAAAACAGAACATGTGGGAAAATTATGAACACTTTAAGTTTGAAAAAGAGGTTGTCTTTCTTGATTTAGCTCTCATGGGTGCCATGTCATTGTTTGGGCATCAATTTATACTTTATTCTGTATATTTCAATAAAGAGGATGCTTAATTCTTTCATTCTATGGACTTAACTGCTCAGAAATCAAAAATCTTAAGTTAAAATCTTTCTTTTAATTTTTAGGTAGTAATATATATAATATAGTTGAACTAAAGATTTACTTACCGGTAGATCAGTGAAGGTCAATCCTTTGCTCCTTTCAGGTAAATACTGTTGAATCTCCCCGGAAACGGTATATGTTTCTTCTGTACTCATCTGTTTTTTATACCTCTTGATTAATGTCTTTAATATATATAACAAAGTTTCATCTACTGTCGGTTCTTCACTCTGTTGGAGTAATGATTTTTGAATCAAAGGTTCCTTAGTGGGTAATGTAATGACTGTTGCCATTTTAACAAAAGTAAAATGCAATGTATCTGTTGCCTACAATTCCACATTATCATTAAATATAGATAAAACGATCAACGTATTAACCTCCAACGTGGCCAATGACAGATATTTGTTTACATGGCCTCTCTATGCATTTTCCACTTCCGGGTCAACCGGTGCGTCGATTTACCCTAAAGAACTCAAAACCCAAACAGGGACCGAGATTGGCCTGAAAATGAATCTGATTTATTAGGATAGTTAAAGATTTGTACTTTTTTGTTTTAATAATTAATATTTCCGGATTTGCACGTGCTAGATCATCCAATCAAGAGACAAACACATTTGAGTTGTTTTATTATCGGTCGCAGCAGCGGCCAATCTATTTGTGGTTGTGTTAGAAAGTGTACAGTACATGAGGAAATGAAGCGATATTTTTGTTGTTTCTGTAGAATAATTCCTTATTGGTAGCATGCATTAAAGTTATGAATAAATAAAATTTAAAATAAGTTTATATTATGTCTTAACTATCGTTAATAATTCGATTCATTTCGGCAGGGGGTGCTCACTCCTCCATGGCACCTGATCCCACCTCTGATGCTTTTGGAGGTCCGTGTTAGCTCTGCTCCCGATTTTGTATAGTTTAAATGAACTTTGAGCTTGAGTACTGTTCTGTATCTCTCTTTTATCGTCAATTTTAATCAGATATTAAATTCATAATTTTACTTCTTTTTTTTCTTTCTTTCTTTTTTTTTTTTTTTTTTTTTTACAAATGCTCCGCAATATGGGAGTGTTAACGTATGCAACTCGATACGATCGCAAGTTTTCGGAAAATTACAGCACTTAAAAAATAGAGAAAAATTGGTACTGAATGTTGTTTTGAATCAAATTTGCTACGGGTGCGAATGACAAAACAATAATTTTTCGGCACTTTTATGTCCATCACCAGCGCCTGCAGAACTCATCGGCATCATCATGTGACAAAGATCCAGGTATTATGATCAGCACAGGCATTAACTGCTCTGTATGGTATCGGATGGGTTCGATTGATTGTATATTGTTTAACGTCCCATTCGAGAATTTTTCACCCATATAGAGACGTCGTACGTTATGATGTTATTTTTTAAAAAAGCGATAAAATTTGTAGTTAAAAATCTGAACCTTAAGAATGAGGTTATAAGAACTAACTTTATTTATTTCCATACATTCAAAAGAACATGCAATCCAAGAAAGAGGCGCGAAGATAATTTACTCGTGACATTTGGCGCGAAATTATTTTGTCACCCCCTTTCATCAATCGGAACTCCTCGGATGTCTCGCGAACTCAACAAGATTATTGTTGAGTTCGCGAGACATCCGAGGAGTTCCGATTGCCCCTTTCATAGAAGACAAAGACTCATCCAACGGTTTAGAAACGCAGAAAAAAATGTTACACGGACATGTCCGTATAGGGAATTGCAAAGAATAAACAGGTGCATGAAAAGAAAAAAAACTGAAGGAAGTAAACACATCAATATTTTGCATCAGTAATTTGATGAATATCAGCTTGCACAAAATCTAGCTCACTAAGTATGATTTCTTAGTTTCAGACCATGGAACAAATTGATCCTTAAACTGAAATTAAGGCAATAAACACTATAAAGTAAATCTTCTTTATATTGCTAAAATAAAATTTATGCGACAAAACTTGTTTATTTTACTTATATAGAAAGATGAGTTGTTATTTTCGAGACTTAAACAAAAAAGATTTGCCTGTATCATCTGTCCTTAAAATCGGAATAATGATATGGTATTATTCGGCAATTATTAACTTATAATTAAATTTGATTAAAGTAAGTGCTCATTAATTATGTTAATCTAAACACCTACTGATCAAGCGATATTTGCATACATGAACACCAAGTGCACTGAATGTTTTTAAAACCAGCCGGGCGAATCCTCACAGAGGAATTTTGCAGCGAAACCACTCAGAAGGAACAAGTAATGGGGGCGAAACCACCCGAATTCCTTTGCATCAATTCATCTTCTTAAACAACTGCAACAACAAAGAGGAGAAAAATGCGGCAGATTGTCATGTTGTAAATTTTGTATTTACTGCCACCCGGTATAAATTCAAAATTTACAACATGACAGGTGCATAATGGCACTGTGTAATAAAGGTTCTATGAATTCATTTAATTATATATAGGAGAAGTTGCGGATAAAAGATGGGTACCCCAAAGCGTAACGGACGAACGGCTGAACTAAGGGACGGACACCCAATCACTATACATTGTATAGTATACAACCCCGCTTTTTAAGCGGTGGTATAAAAACGAATGATTCTAATTTACATACAGAACAAAATAATAAAGTGGAGAGTTTTTAATTTTAGACAGGTACGTGTAAGTATTTATTTATTCTATGGATAATTCTGTAGTTGAAACATGTATCAGTCCTTGGTCTTTCATTATAGATTTAAGGGGAAGAAGGACCTTTAGCTGAAAAAATACTTGTCATTCAATTTTTTTTATATTTTGTATATTTCTAATTAAGTATGTCCCACATATCTTAAAGCAGTTATATCATTAGGTTTCTTACCTTATTTTAAAGATATTGATTGACAAATATTATGCCCTACAGTATCTAAGTGGCGTTTTAATTCTCCATGTTGCCGGGCTCATTACTCTGTCCATAATTGGATTTTTAAAGCATATATAAAAAATATGTAAGTGAACATGTATCTTTTAAAATATTTCAGAGTATGAATTGGGTTTAAAATTCGAAAAGGCAAGTTTCATCTATCACACTGCATCTGGATAGGGAAAATTACGAACTTTTTAAGACAACTTAAACAACAAAAAACGTAATTTACAAAAAATCCTATCATTCAATATTTTTAAATTTACGTTGCAATGCAAGTCCTTCAAATTATTGATTAACTGTAAAAATTTCGAATGGTGAAGCTGACCTCAATATTGCACAGGATATCGTTGAAGACGACATAACCAGGACAAAAACTTGTCATGTTTACATTTCTCAAGTATGGGAAAAACCAACTATGACGTCACACGTAAGCTAAATAAGCGAAATAAGATATACCTACATAAGATTTCCGTCATCAGCCATGTAAAAATAATTTTTGTGTTCCCCGTTTCTCAAAATACTTCATCATATACTGATTATGACCTGTTTTTACATAATAATACCTCCCTTGTATTCACCGAGTATGATCTTGCTGTACTAGCAGATCGTGTATGACGTCACCGACTTGTTGGACGCGCAGTTTAAAGAAACAGAGGAGTGGATCAATCTTTTTTCATAATTTGATAATGTTTACAAGAATGTTAAACTTTTTATTTTTTTAATATAAGATGGTAATTAAAGAAAAAAAATTGTCAAAATTTTTTACAAGAACTGATGCTTTACACGTTTTGCTCTTATATAAATGGAGACTATGACGTAGTTTAACAAAGTCATGTGACCATGTGTCCTTCATCCCCTTAAAAAAAAAGTTTATATAAATATGCTTGCATGCAGTTGAAGTCAGCTGGTTTATAATCCATGTCGAATCCTTTCTCATCCTGTGTCTTAAAAAAATATTTTGAATCCTTATTTTATTACTATAATTAACTCAATATGACTATACAATGCATGAAAAATTGTTAAAGTTAAAACTTTTTAGAAAAAAAAATGGTATAATAAAATATTAATGTCATGTTCTAAATTTTGAATTTACCGGGTGAGATTAAATACAAAATTTAGTTGTCATGTTCTAAATTTTGTATTTACTCCCACCCGGTAAATTCAAAATTTAGAACATGACATTAAGTAGATTTTATTTCCAAAAAATTCCCATGTGTTGTATGAATTTTGTCCTCTGTTTACAATATTCAGATCTAAACTTACACATTTTAAAATATTTTACACATAGTAATTTCAGAGAAAGAAATAAATCCAGTTTGACGGCTGAAATAGTTGTACAATTTTTCTAATCCAAGTTAACTTCGGTTAAGAAATATAAATGTTTCCGACTATATTGGTCATTCTATATCCAACATATGTTCTCTATTTTGTTTCCTCAAAGAAATACATGTATACTATATGAATAAACCAGGATTTACCAGGACATAAATATTAGTAATGGCCTAAGTAAATAAACTTTTACTACAATATTTTTTTCCCAAAGGAGAAATATTTATTTCAGAGAAATGCTTTGTTACTTTAAGTTTAAACTTGTCGAAATATACTCTAGTGTATATTCAAGTCATTATCTGTTTCTTGGGTTCTTTAATGTTACTCTTGGGTAAATCGAACAATCTTATTTATCTGATCAGAACGAGGCTGCAGTCTTTTTCTTCTTCCGGTGTCCAGCAATGGTGAGAGTTTAATTATCGTGTAAAAGAAATCCGCTGTCATCAATGTAACCGTCAAACAAAGTAATTTTTTGAACACATTTTCTAAAGAAATAAAACACATAAGAAATGTCAGTTCACTCTTTAAACCCATAAATTAACAAACGCTAGACTTTCTTAACGAATTGTAAGGCCATGTTGGTTTGTTTTGGTTTTCGGGGTCGAGTTTCTCGGACTAAGACAATCACAGAGTTGTATAATCACAACTGGGGATAGCTGAAATTTGCGTCGCAAAACTTGAGAGAGAGAGTCGCTACTCCGCTCGATACTTCGATCTTTTGAAGCAACGTTTGGGCGTAGAGAAAATTCGGACTGATCAAATTCACAGGCACTTGGGGTATGGACCCCCCCTTCCATTTTTTTTCTTTTTAAATCTGGGGTCGAGTCACCTTTTCCCTATTTTTATATTCTAATATGCACTATATGTTATCAATAATGTAATTCTTTTGTCTCTATATGCTGTTTTTAAATATACCGTTTTTCGACTGATACATAAAAAGAGAGAAGGCTTGCAACTCTTTTCTCATCGTCTGCCTCACCTCGCTTAAACTTCGCCTGATTATTTATCTAAAACATAAGAACACATGGGATATGCATACATCAATAAATTTGTTACACATTCTTCTTCCTTTTCATATTTCCATTTAATTTTTATGTGCCCCCGATTTGTAAATATTTCAATTAAATCAACCGCATCTAGGGTAAATTTTGTTGATGTGCACTAGCTGGGACG